AGACTATTTCTATCTTTGCCATGTGCTTCCTGCTTGTCTCTCCAAACTAGAGACAATAGCCCAGTACACATCCATTCTATTTAATTAGAATAGCTATAATGGGAAATATAGCTCGGCAATCGTGGAATGGACGTGCCTCTCTGCGTGCCCGGATTAACTTAGTTCCAGCACTAGACAAATCAAAAGAAGATCATCTGAATTTCCACATTCCTGATGCATCACCAGCGACAGTCCTTCCATTGATTTTCTCTAGTTGTTCTTGATGAGTTGGGAAATCCAGGAGCCCAAGTAAAGTCCAGAAGAAATCCACCTAGAGAAGAGCTCTAAAAGGTGAGGCAAAAACACCATCATATTCAGGACAATTTCCACATTCTATAGATTAGCATCTAGACACTTTTTTATAAATAGTTAATGGGAATCTTGCTCCAATTTTTGTTGCAGCCACCGGTACATGATTGCTGCGCACACTAAGAGGTAAATTTCGATGACCAACCGACAAACTATCACATTGTACTTCACTGCAAAGGAAAATAAAATAAAATAAGAGACACTTAAGTCATCAATGGTTTGAAAAGTTGTCAATTTCTACACTTTTCATAAATAGCTAATGGGAAACACATTCAGAGCAAAGTCATCTATTTTAAGCTTTCACCCTGTCCTAGAAGTTGGTCTCTGGGACAATCATGAAAATTTACTAAACATGTATTAATAGCTCATCATAGGATCACATCGAACATATTATCGACGTAGATTCCTAGAGATAAGAAACAAGACTATTTCTATCTTTGCCATGTGCTTCTTGCCTATCTCTCCAAACTAGAGACAATAGCTTAGTACTTGTCCATTCTATTTAATTAGAATAGCTAATGGGAAACACAGCCTGGCAATCGTGGAATGGATGTGCCTCCCTGCGTGCCCGGATTAACTTAGTTCCAACATTCTACCACGTGGCACCCTTTCGGCTCCCCTTTGAGGCCTAGGGATTTTGTGTCTCACAGTTGTGTAGTGAACTTCTTCCGATAGTGCCCCCATTCAATTTTGCAATCTAGTGCCAGATTGCAAGTGTTGGTGATTGCAAAATTGAATGTGGGAACAACACTATCATGTTCAGGACAATTTCCACATTCTATAGATTAGAAAATCTAGACACTTTTCATAAATAGCTAATGAGAAACACTAGAGCAAAGTCATTTAGTTGGAGATCCTATCAAATGGCTGCTGTAATGGCTGGAGTGGCTCAAAATTGAATGTGGGAACAACAAATTCCACAATTAGAGAATGGGACTAAATAGAACTAACACATTTGGGAATGATAGTGAGAGTGTCTTGGTGTATCAAATATTAAGGTACCAAGCTTAATATCACAGTGGTTTTTGTCACTGATCTAGATGACATTTGTTTTTTGTTTTTGTGTGTACGGAGTCACCCCCCGAAGCCCCAGCCAGTGTAAGACACAACAAGGTTTGAACTCCTTACCGGGCTAAATATGCTTCGCTAATAACACTTAGAAATTCTATCCTTATGCTTATTTGATTTAAGTACACTCAAAATGCCTAATTAACTCCATTAGCATAAGAAGGACTAATAAAGGGTCTAGCAATATTGATCTCTTGCTATTATGGCAGTAAGAGAATAATATTCAAAAGGGCTCACTAGCAAAATTTTCAATACATGCAGTCGTATTCATAATAATTCACTATATACTCCAAAGGTGGACGATAATAAATTGTAGTGTTGTTATTGTCCCATTTGTGGCCCAAGTGTTTAATAGAATCCACTTCAACTAGTGGAAAAATGCTCATCAAATACTGATCTTAAAATTTAACATTAGTAGCTTGTGACAACTATAAAGGTAAATTTAACTTTGTTAGCAATATTAAATCATTACCATATAAGAGTTTATATATTGAAGCACTATTAAAACTCTATACCTCCATGACATACGCATACTAAAGAGATGGCAAATAACCATCTCAGTCCAAATGTTGAAAATTCACATACATTATGAAAATCCTTTTGAAGGTTTGAACAAGCCAGATCAAATTTAATGATCCTATAGAGTCAAGTAGTTGGAGCACCGACTTCCACCCACCAATTCAAATAATCAAAACACTTATTGAGTCAAGTAGTTAGAGCATCAACTACCCACCAAGTCAAGTAGTCAAAAGCAATTAAAAGCAATAATAACATACTCAAAACTTGAGTCAATAATGATGTTTTTAACAAAGATTTATATAGTTTATTACTCTTATATAGTTGTTTACAGATATTCTATATACCCCTCTATAATAAAAGAGTCATGGTAAGTATAGAGAAAATATAGAATAAAGATCGAAGATATTATTAGTTGCAAATGGTCATTAAAATCATTTTCCACAAAGTAAAGAAGATCATCCTTAAGGTAATATTAAGAATGTAAATGTCAAAATGACAAATCATCAATAAATGATATAGGGTTTTTAAACCTATCATGAAGCTCACAAACCTTATTAAAAGAAGGTAAACCTAGCATCACATTTTGTAAATACCAAATATTAAGCACAACAACTACTATAGTATGGAATCCTCATCAAGAAAATCCATTAATGTTGGAATAATAAACTCATAAGAAACATAAAAGGAAAGTAAAAATGGGAGAAAAGGGAGAAAAACTTGGGAAAGGGCATCAACTACAGAATTCCCTGGGAAATGAATAACTTTAAACTTATATATTTAAAGCTTTTGATCTATCGAGCAATACGATCAATTAAATTTTTCTCCTTCAATAGTAAAGTGACTACAATATGATCACCAATGTCTAAGAACTATCATAAAGCTTCTTAAAACCCCAAATTATAATTAAACATTTCTTCTCTATTATGGAGTAGCTTATTTTTGCCAGTTGTAACATATGGTTGGTGTATGTGATAAGATGATGTTGACCAAGCACTTATCACAAGATAAAGTTCACATACTTTAGGACTCCAAGAGTTTTAAGTAACATCTTTATTTAATATGATATTTACTCATAAAATTTGATCTCCATTAGTGAATAATACTGAACAAGAACCTTGATTAAACAAGCATCCCCTGTTAGACTAAGATGATGCATAGTACTCCTGGCTCTAGACAATATATCAAAGTTGAAGATATCAACATACTTCTTAAACCAATCAACTGTCATAGCAAAAAGAATGTCTAAGGGATTTTGTAGTGTATATGGTTATGGGATGAAATTTAGATATACTGTCACTATGTGAATCTTTCGAACCTTGGAAGATAAATAGGGATAAAATAGCCACTAAATGCTTTATTATTAAGCAATTGCCCTACAATTGGCTGAAGAAGAGAGAGATAAAATATGCTATATGTGGTATCAAAGTAAATAACATAAGTTTAATTTTCATTGACCCCTAAAAATTGTACTTATATGTATTAGGCATGTCATTTATCTTGTAGGGCATCTACAGATCTAAAAGCTTGATTTGACATATTGGAACTTGAAATCACCTATATATATAACTAAGTCCACCTCATCCCATATATACGCATGTATACATTTGTTATTTGAAATTGTATCAACTAATATAGAAAGGATAACAGTGGACTTTTTGTTATAAAACTGAGTTTAAAAAGTAAACACTTGATGAACTCAACCAACACAAAAACGATAATAGTGGACCTCTTATTATAAAACCAAATCTAAAAAGTAAACACTAGATGAACTCCCTTAATGGTATTCCAGAAACAAGCATGGAGGGGTCAGTGATAATTTCAATGTCAAGACCAAGGATGACATCAATTATAAGTGGGAGAGATGATATTTTATAATGTTGTGTTAATGAAAGAGCCTTATGAAAAGAGTGGCTGGGGCAAGTGTATGTACACAAGACCTTAACAAAGTGTTGGCTATAATATGCTTAATTTGATTTGCTTTGACATATTTGGCTTAACACAAAGCAAAAGTTTCCAAAAAATGAATATTAAATTGCATAATTGACTCAAGCAACCCAAGACAAAAATGGTTGTTAGAAGGCATCATTATCGTCAACATATCTAAATATGCACTTAAAGACGTTTAAGAGAAGGCTCCAATTCACATGAGAGGCTACACAAAAACCATTGTACCACTCTTAGAAATATATAAAGAAGTTATATAAATATTGAGCATCATCCCAAAAATGATATGTGGCAATCATTATAAAGTAATTGAACCAATAATACATATCATCTTTAGGATTCCTATAAAATAAATCCAGAATTGATAACAAGAGCAAGAGGAGCTATATAAATGCTATCATTAATTGAGTCTATTTGGTTATAGCATTAAGCAATTGCACCAATTGTTGCTCCAAAATCAAAAGATGAATATATTAATTTGCTATAAATATGAATAAAAAAAAAGTAAAAGAGAAAGAAATGAAAAAGTTATAGAAATAAGAGAAATTTGACCAACAAAATCTAAATAAAAAGTATAAATCAAAATACTTGCTAGATAATCAAAAGTGCTCTTTATCTCCACCAATGTGAATACATAGAATATAGAAATAGAATACAAAATTTATATATTCAATTAAACCAAAAACTTTAATTTATATACATAAGTGAGTGAATGGTCTTGGACTAAAATTAATCTGATACCTATCAAAATCCCACTTGGGATAGAGACTTTTTCCCATAATACTAAAATACAATAAAATTTATATATAAAATATGTTTTCCCTATAAATATAACTGGAGTTTAAAAGCTTTTTTATTAAATTTAAAACGAGATAAAAAAAGACAGAAACGTATAGTTGCCATTGTTCTAGGACGACTTACTCTAGCGAGAGCGGATATCCTTGGAGATAATCTTGAGATCGAGCCATGGATCCAGTCAAAAAGAGTGAGTGAGGAGAAACTTGCCTGATCTGATCCGAGGCTGTTATGTAGATCTTCTCCTCAAAGCAGCACGCAATCTTGAGCATCTAGTTTCTGCCATCTAGCAGACTTTCTGGCATATGCTTCTGGAGCGTGTACAGAGAAGGCCATGAGAATCAAATGCATTGCACTTCAGCATCGAATGCACTGCTTACCTGGCACACACAGAGGGGTAATATTGTGCAAGCATGGAACTGTTTCTCGGCAATTAAAGATCGAAATGTCATCACGTGGACATCTTTGTTATCCGCAAATGCCAAAACAGGGCATCTTGAGCTTGCAAAGCGTACTTTTGACAAGATGAGCCAGCAAAGTGTCGATACATGGAACGCAATGCTCAGTACATTTTGCAGGGGCGGGATGACGCAAGAGATGGTGCGAACATTCCTTGAGATGCCGGAGAGGAACATCATTTCCCACACGACCATGATCTTGGGATATGCCCGAAACAGGCATCTGGGCGCTGGAATGGCCGTGTTTGAGGCTATGCCGAGTTGGAATGTGGTCTCTTTCACCGCGGCATTTCAGGCATTCGCAGAGAACTCTCGAGGCGAAGAGGCAAAGACGATCTTTGACACTATGCCGGAGCGAAGCGTCGTCGCGTGGAACGCATTAGCATCGATGTATGCCGGGAAAGGGCAAATGGAGTGTTCGTGCGCGGTACTAGATCGCATTCCCCAGCTAGGAGCAGTGTGCTCCACAGCAGTGGCTGTGGCACTTGCGGCTTGCGGTGAAATTGAAAAGACCAAACAATTATTCTGCTTGATGCTGGAGAGGACGATGGTCTCCGTGACGGCAATGATCCAAGCATATGCCCAGAACGGGCATATGCAAGAAGCGCGGGTGCTGTTTGAGTTGATGCCCGAGCGGGATATAATTTCTTGGAATGCGATGACAAAACTTTTTGCGGATCAAGGTCTGCTGGTAGAAGCGAAGGTCGCATATGATAGCATGCCTGAGAGGGACGTGCTTTCGTGGAACGCACTCTTAGCGGCATTTGCCGAAACTGGGCATTCGTCCGAAGCTTGCAAGACGTTCGAGCTCATGCCAAAGCACGACGCAATCTCTTGCAGCTACATGGTAATCACTTACGGGGAAACTGGGAGAATCGGCGACGCACAGCAGCTTTTCAATATTATGCCCGCACGAACACTCTTGTCGTGGAGAGCAATGATTGTAAACTTTGCCCAGAGCGGGCATCTGGCACAAGCCCAGCAAATGCTCGACCTCATGCCAGTGGTCGAGCTTCTTTCCTGCAGCGCTGTTTTAGCAGCGTATGCCCACCTCGGGCATCTCAAAAGAGCCAAAGCCGTGTTTACAAAAATGATAGACCACGACGTCGCCTCATGGAATGCTTTCCTTTCAGCAAATGCCCGCTCGGGGCATATTTCCTGCGCGGCAGAACTCTTTTCCACAATGAGTCTCGAGGGCTTCCTCGCGAATCCAATCACCTTTGTGGGTATTTTGCTCGGATTCGGGCACGCGGGGATGCTAGACACCGCACTGAGACACTTCCATTCCATGTCCCCCGACTTTGCCATCACTGCATCCAAGGACCACTTCTGCTGCATGGCCGACGCCCTCTGCCGCGCGGGCAGGCTGGCCGACGCCGAGGAGCTCGTCCAAAGCATGCCCTTTGCGCCGGACGAGATTGCGTGGGCGAGCCTGCTGGGCGCGTGTAGGAGCTACGGCGACGTGGAGCGTGGCAATCGCGCGGCCGGGAGGCTGCTGGAGATTGGAGACAAGTCGTGCTTCTTGCAATACCAGTCCTTCTAAGTTTACTTTTAGGGCTCCTCGCGAGAACTTTCTCGATGGTGACTAAATCGTCGTCGCCATGCTATCGCCCCTGCGAGCACCTGGTGGACTACAAATCCAAGCACAGCACCCGGGGCTTCCGCGCGCTCCAGCGATGCATCGTCGTCCTCCCACCGGGCCGGCCCAGCGTGCGCACTTTGAGCTGCGACGAGGATCCAGTCCCCAGGTGCGCGTCCTGTGCCAAGTCCCACGGCCGCCTCTACGCTTGCCTCATCTGTTCCACCATCAGCTGCTACTCTTCCAGCTCCAGCCACGCTCGATCTCACGCGCTGGAGCTCCCGGGCCACGAGCTCGCCATCGATCTTGACCGCGCCGAGCTCTTTTGCTGCATTTGCAACGATCAAGTCTACGACGCCGACTTCGACTGGGTCGTCGTGTGCGCTCAGTCTGGAAAGAAGCACAGCGTCGTAAGTAGCGGGAGTGGAAACGCTGGCGGTGGTGGTGATGGTTGCGGCGGAGATAGTGGAAATGGTGCCAGCCTTCTGGCAAAGCATACCTCTTTCTCGAACGGGAGGACGAGTGGAAACGCTGGCGGTGGTGGCGGAGATAGAATCGATGGTGGAAAAAGTGCTAGTTCTCTGGCAAAGTGTACCTCTTTCTCCAACGGGAGGACGGCTCCTCCTCTCAATGTGTATAGCCGGAAGAGGAACCGAGGGGCCGAGTACAAGCCGTGGGAGCCGAGCTCCAAGGACCCGCTTGTGCTCGAGCGCGGCGCCGCTCCTCTCGGACTCCGGGGCCTCACCAACATGGGCAGCACTTGCTTCATGAACTCGGTGCTCCAGGCGCTGCTCCACACGCCGCCTCTCCGGAGCTACTTTCTCGGTCACTGCCACAACAAGGCTGCCTGCCAGAGCAAAGTCTGCCTTGGATGCGACATGGACGACATGTTCGCGGCAGCTTTCTCCGGGGACCGGACGCCATACAGCCCTGCACAGTTCCTCTACAGGCGAGTGAAAGAGCTCTTTTCTTCTTTTTCTTTCCCCTCTCATGAAAAGTACCTCTTTCTTTTTTCTTTCTTGAACAGCTGGTGGCAACACGCTGCAAATCTGGCAGGCTACGAGCAGCAGGACGCGCACGATTTCTTTATCTCGGCAGTGGAAGGCATCCACGCCAACTCGCAGCAGCCTGAACTTCGCAAGTAAGCAAAGCTTTGCCATAAACAAAGATAGAAACTCACTCACCTTTGATTGATTCTTACGCACAGGGGGAACGACGCCGAGTGCCGCTGCATTGTCCATCGGGTCTTCTCCGGCTTGCTGCGATCGGACGTAACTTGCACGGCATGCGGCTTCACGTCTACCAAGAACGATCCCTGCGTGGACATTTCTCTGGATCTGGAGTCGACGGCGCTGGAGAAGCAGATATACGCGAGCTCGTCCACGCTGCTGGGCTGCCTGGACCGCTTTACCAGGCCGGAGAGGCTGGGCAGCAACGAGAGGTTCTTCTGCGAGTCGTGTCAGTCTAGACAGGAGGCCGTGAAACAAATGTCAGTGAGAAAGCTACCGGTGGTGCTGTGCTTCCACGTCAAGAGATTCGAGCACTCGGCCAAGAACTACCGCAAGGTGGACACATACGTGCAGTTCCCACTGTCGCTGAACATGGCTTGCTACCTCTCCTCGTCGATAGCGAGGCTCAGGCACGGCAACAGGCTCATTTTTGTAGAAGGAAAAGGAGAGCTTGGCGGTGACAACGATAGCGGTAGCACGAGTCCCTCGTCCGAGTTTGAGCTTTTTGCAGTAGTCAGCCACTCTGGCAAGCTCGACGGTGGCCACTACGTCGCCTATCTCCGCCTGGGGGGCGAGTGGTACAAGTGCGACGACGCCTGGATAACAAGAGTTGGCGAAAGCGTGGTGAGAGCAACGCAAGCTTACATGCTCTACTACGTCCAGAGATCGTTGTCGGACGAGTCGAGCACCACCATTCCGGAACGCTTTAATCAGCACCAAACCTTAGTACTAGACGAGAAGATAGGATACACTTCTCTCCTGGCGGACGCTGTCCAGGCTTAGAGCAGTCACTCAAGAGATTCAAAACCGATGATTGTTGAGAATTAAACATCTGCATTGCAAAACAAAATCACACACGTCCCTATCGAGGACGAAGGTAGTAGCACTAAAGGAAAAATATGAAAAAAGAAAAACAAAGCGACCTCGACAATGATATCAGCAGTAGAACATAACGCTTTTCACGTTATCCTTGACAGGCGGCAGTGGCCGGACACCAGTGCGTCCGCTGCGTGATCCCGAGCTGCCAGTCGTGGTACTCTTCCCAGGTCCGGCTCCACTAGTCAGAGATCCGCTGTCCGATGTCTCTGGCTCCATATAAAACCTTGCTCTGAATGCAGCCAAGTGGGCGTAGTATGCTGGAGGCACTGGAACACAAGAATAAAAAAGGAGAGAAAACAAAGTCTTAGCATCCAAGCAATAGGAAAGACAGTTCTTACTCACCTATTGACACAGATCTCGTGCAGCGCGCGTATCTGCAAAACAGTACACATCCAAAAAGAGTTTGAAGTGAGCCTCAAGACAAGACTGTCCTTGCACTTACGTGTAGCATAGGTTGTTCGTTAATGACTGCAAACCATCAGCCGTGAAAGTGTTTTCATCCCAAAGCACATGATAATGTGCCGGCCGACTAGTTCCCTGCAGGGTCGCAGTCACAACCATCAGCCTCAATCAGGTTGACGCTGTGCCTTCGTACCTGTATTCCAGCGTGACTGCAGAGGTAGAAATCAAATTCCGTGGGATGACAGATCTTCGTATCCACCACAGTACCTAGCAAAAGCGTTTTAGTTGTCAAGCACATTGAACAAACTTTGCTACAAACCTGGAAGGATATTGCCGCTCTTGTCTCTTGACTCCCTATCGTTGTGATTGTTTGCAAACAACCGTGTGTGATGTCGCTTTTGGACCACTACGAAAGTCACCGGAGGTTGATAGTTTCCTTCCAAAGATGCACACGCCTAGAGTAGAAACATATTAGTTATAACTGCAACGGAGAGAAGACGTGAATTTTACCTTTCTGATAGAATCAAGCTCATGTAATAGAACCTGATAAAACTGGCCTTCGCTCACTCCATCTCTGTGGCAATGAAAATTCGATGTAAATAATGTCGTTCAAATGCGGTTACTTGCCTATAAAAAATGATCCTCAGCGGCTTTCTTCCCGTCGCTTTGTGGAAGGCTAGCAACAGCTCCCTGTACACCTCATTTTTAAGAAGTCCTTATACGCAAAATAAACTTCGTACCTGATCATTCCACCGTGCATTATAGTTTTGCTTTGTGGATCTGTCCAGGTCTTGTAGAGATCTTGTATCAGTTCTTGACGATGTGCTTGAGCACAAACTAATCCCGCATACTTCGTCACCTCGGGCCAATCTTGCGATGCAACAACCTATAACAGCAATTGAGTTTCACGGCTGCAGCGGAAGAGCAGCATACCGCAGCTATCGATGGACTCGAATCCTCTCCAGGGTGAGGATGAGTGACATCCGCACCAAATATGATCGTCGGAATGTCACTGACAAGCGGTATTCTCCTCGAAAGCGCATCTACAAGAACTGTGTTTCTCCCACCAACCTGCAACACTCGAAACGTTTCACTCTTCAAAACCTCACGCGTTCACAAAGCATACCTTGACGTTGATTTTCAGAGCAACGTTAGCCAGATATTGCTTGGTCATTTTATAGACGTGCTTAGTTAAGCAACACTGCGATATCAGCCCAAGATCCGTTTCACATATTCTCTTCAGATCCCCTGCAGAAAAAGCTCGGGCTGTTCACAAACGATTGTACGAACTTCAACCACCCACCATACAAAGCACCATTGCTATCCGGTAAGATTGCAATGAGTAATTCCAACTCTTTCCCTTTAGCTTTTGATTGAACTTCCCCACAAAGCATTTTCAGCGCACGCTCCACTTGATCTGGCCTTGCAGGTTGCACGGGAACAATGGGTTCCGGAGTAAACGCCTGATAAAAAAAGAAAGTTTTCAGACTGAGACTATCAGGTGATTATAAGTACCATGCCAGAAATCTGACACATGAGAGCTAACTCAGCACAGAAATCGTGTGCAATGGAATCCTGGACTCCCCGAGAGAAGTTTATGCACGCCCAATAGTTGACACTTCCTCCGTTCACCATTTTCTAAAAGAAAATGTTAGAATATAGATTTCACAGAATATGACACAAAAACCTTGTTCATCATATTCCACTGCCCAACTTGAGGAAGGCAGTCTTTCTCCCGTCCAGTATCATGATACTTCAACTGTCAGAAAACGTTTGAGCTTGAATTAACGGTCTTCGGAAGACATACCCGTGGTGCCGGTAGTATCCGGGCTTCCACCGAAGCTAGCTTATCGCTAATGCGGATGCCAAATTCTTGCGCATAAGGATCGTCGTGATAAGCGTTGTGGCGGACAGTCTGCAACAACGGCATCAAATAAAACTTCCGAACTAGAAGACGTGCATACCTGAAGAATATCGTTCTCACGGTCCTTGGGACGCTGGCATGTGACCTTCAAAAGGTTATTAATCTGCCGTTCGTTCAGTCTCTTCGAGTAGCGCTGACCTTCGACAATTTTGCAAACCTGAGACAAACCAAGGACGCGTCCATCCACTTCACACGAAAGACAAAAGAATTACCTCCATCGGTAGGTAGTTTGGTCTTTGTTGGTTACCAACGGCAAGACAAGGCAAAGATGGACTGCGTATAGTATAGCCATAGGTTTCGCGAAAATACTCGACCACTGACTTCAAAGTTCCTCTTTCGTCGACAGGAAACCTGAAAAATGCTTTAGAAACACGAAAGCTATCGTAATGTGTGTCCTACGTGAGTTCTTGCGTTGGCTGCGAGGTCAAGCCAGATATCCTGTACTTCCGCCGCATTGTACCTCGGTGGGTAACCTCAACCTTCACTCCCCGCAATGCCTTTTTGATCTGTAGAATGACAATTAGCGACACAGCATTGGAGTTACATCCATCAGACCTTAATGCGATCAGCGTCCGAGAGAGGTCTACTGAGATCCTTCCCCAAAAGCTGTCCAACAAAATCCACTACCGGCAAGGGCTCAATGAATGCAGTTGACGACATATCTGTCAAGAGATCTAGCTGAGAACAAGGACATTACAAAACAGCACACCACATACCGATGTTAAGCGATAATCCCATCTGCGTCGGCCTGATACTTTGGTAAAACCCGCGCCAACTTTCCAGGCCATCCCCGAGTGGCTGTCGCCGTCCAAGATCAGGGGAATAAAATGATCGTCCAACAGGCGAATACCTTGAAAAAATAAGTGTTAAATATATAAACCACGGTGACTGATGGGAGACCACTACCTGTGAGTGGGAAGCTCACGCAACACGATGTCGAGAACTTGGAGAGCTTCCTGGGGTGCATTGGGCTGCCTTCCGGCCAGAAACTCTCCCAGATGGTGCAAGTCCGCGCGTGCCGCGAATTTTATAACAATCTTGAAGGATCTCTCCCTCCTGTGTATAGAACCAAAGCGATTATTGTAAAACGCAAGCCAGGAGTAAAAAGGAGCTTACCTTGGCGCATTTGTTCCGTCCTCTTCGTCAGGGAGGGTCACCTGGAAATCTTTATACTGAAAAGGAAGTGGACCAGCAGTGTACAAGCTCTTCCTTCCATCATAAGCAGGAAGTCTGCGACCCAGAGCCTCCCTGTTGAGCTTCACGAGCAGCTCCATGACCGCTCTATTCACCCCTCGCGATGTAACCTCGGGAGTGATTGTGACCTGTGAAAACACAAAAACAATGAGAAACTCGAGCAAACCAACCGAGCAGCTCGAACTTACATCATATTGATGAAGATCCTTGTCAGGAAGCTCAGCAAAGAAGTGATTCGCCTTCACCACGCACTTGGAGCCCATCACACCTTTGCCTGGCCTTCGAGGGAAACCGAGAGCTTTGCTGGATACAAGAGTGCGAGGAGGCTCTTCCGGCGGCTGGACTTGCAAGCTCCCCAGCTTCTCCTCGATGAGACTCGTAGAAGGCCCAGCCAACGGCATTGTCACGCCGGTGCGGCCATACGGAGGAGCTTGAGGAGGCGCCTGGCCGTATGGTATTCCAGGAAATTGCGCTATCTGACCAAAATGAATTGGAGGAGGAACGCTGTAGTAAGGAGCCATCCCGTAAGGGACTGAGTAAGCTTGAGACTGCTGAGAAGCCACCACCGACGATGTAGAAGCCTGATGGCCGGGCTCGTGAGGAGGAAAGCCCCTTCCAGCGCGACCCCTTCCATATCTTCCACCGTTTCCATTCCCGCCGCCTTCTCGCCCTCCTCCTCGCGGGACCTGAGGCCTCGGAGGAGCTCCCATAGCAGCGCGAGGAGGCTGAGGAGGAACAATCTGCGGTCGCGGCGCGGGCGTTGGCGCGGGCGCATTTCGGAAAATCTCGGCCGCGGTCGAGGGATCGGGCCTGTCGGCCTCGTCGCCGGGCCGACTGGACGTCTCCCCAGGCGCTTTCGGCGTCTTTCTTCTGCGCGGCATTCTTACCTGCATTGACAGGAAAATCTTTCATGAATCAGAGTGGAGCAAGCACTCGATCGCAACTCACCTAGCTCTTGCTGGAAATTTCGCGCTCGCGATCGTCGCACAGCGTTGGCGCTTCGTTCGTCTACGAGACTGAAAACCCTAGCTCTCGCTCAAAGCTCCATAGCTAAAAGCTTGGATATAAAGCAAAAAATGCACGCCGCTCAAGCCTCTTCTATCGACATGTAAAAGCTCTCCGTTGTTCTTTAACAACAAGGGGCTTCCTCCTTTCACAGTGCTAAGGACACTGTCCTCCGAAAGCCGCGCGCGCACTACACTCGAGGACAGCTAGCCATAGCTTGGCGGGCTGTCCTTAAGACGGGCTTGACGTCCCTTCCACCTCCATGAAGTGCCGGGCAGCGGCCGTCGCGAAATTCTCCCTCTTCACTCTCACGTGCGGCAGGCGCACGGGATAGTGACGGGTAGTGAAGGCCATCCCCGTCATGGCCGTGAAGGAGAGAGGGGTGGGCGGGCAGACTGGGGGACTCCACGTGGCTGATACTAGGGCACAGTCAGCACCGTAACGGTCAGGCTGTAAATTTACTTTTACTTGAGTGGCATCCCGTGCTCTCGTTTCATCACAAAACCAATGTATAAGCTTTATTCCTGGGGAGCCGTGTGTTAAGTACAAGGGCTGTGGAGTCTGCCTCAGGCAACAAGCAATGAAAACTACAAAGGGAATTGAGTGAGGTGAGAGCAAGGGCCAAAGATATGGTTCCCTCCTCAAACTTAATAAACAACCATTTGTTTGGCGAGGTGATAGATCTGCTGCTGCCGCTCGGGCTTTCCTATGGCCTCTTGGACTGGAAGTGGGACCGCCGGTTCGATTCCCGCTGAGCTCGTAATCCTCAAAGTAAACGTAAAATATTAACCTTGGGTGAACTCCTTGTGTCGCCGGTGTTGGGGCCGCGGTAACAATTGCTTGGTATGTATATTCCAGTGCCATGTCTCCATTCTCTTTTTAAAGCGCAGCAGATGCCCTGGGTGGGCATCTTGGTCCGAAATAGCGAAAGGGGAATGCAACGCCTTTATATGGGACGGTGGGGAGTTTTGGCGGCATCCGGAGTTTGGGCGGTTGTGGATTCCCGCACACGTGGGCCCTCGATCTCTGAGGATCTGGAATAACATTTTGATACTTGCGGACGCTGGAGTAAGTTGTAAGGTGGGATGTGATGTGTTGTCTCGCGAGGAAGAAGAGGGCAAACAAGAACCCTATACATGACGCCTTGTTGGCTGGTGCTTGCTTTGCTTTGCCTAACGATCGCCGGACCAATCATTGCCCGCAAAAAATATAAACCTTGCAGTTCTAGATGATCACACTGTTGTTGTGTGGTATCATCAAAGGAGATATGGCTCCACCCCATCCACCCATGATCTCTACGTTGGGGGGGGAGCACGGAGCCCCATGCACCGTATGGCATGGCCAGCCGCCATCACATGATGCATCATGGTGGGCATGATGCGACGCTCATGGAGCGCTCATGCGCGCATGCCCTCGCGCGCATTATTCCATGGAACCCCATAGATGGCAAGTATATATGCATTTAACCCTTCCATTTACTGCAACAGCATGTTCGTTTGCATGCAAAATCCCAATGCGGAAGCATACGGTATATACGCTTGGCTCGCCAGACGGCCGCCTGTCAGAAACCCGGGAAGGAAAAGCGACGGGCGCCACCCACCCATCCCCGTCACGGCGACGAGGTGGGGCCAAAAAGACGGACGAGGGTGACGTGCCGCATGCTTGCCCGTGCCGCGTGCTGCTGCCCGGCTGACGGGCGCCCGTCCGTCGTCCGTCATCCAGAACTGGGGGAACGGGAGTTCTTACCGCGGGGTACAAACTAGACCCTTGGATATGTTTCGTGTGCGCTCGTGGCGCGGTTAATTGAAGGGAGTGGATTTTGCCTGACAGCGTGATTTTCGGAAAATGATTTTAAATGATTCGGGGCGGGGCAATAATGCGCAGGAAAAATTTGGCGGAATGGTTAAAAATCCTCGGCTCATGCAGATCGAATGACCCGACCTCGTGGCTTCTATCTTATAGGGTTTGAGATGGGGGGAAGCACCAAAATGGTGTGTACCTAGTATGTGTGTCCAATATGCTGAAGTGTGTGATGTGAGATTCTTGCATTGGGACAACAGGGAAGTTCTTGGAATTGGGTTTAGGTCTCTCACGGTAATGCGTTGAGAAGATGCAATCATCTCTGGTTCGTGTCTGCCGTAATTCTGTGCGTGTTAGCTACTTTGCCTAGAAAGATTTCCGAGGGCTGCGCTGGCTGCGTAGCTGCGAGAATGCCACCATCACCGCCACCGCCACCACCGCCATCACCCGCGCCACCTTTCCTTTCCATTTCGAGCAAATGCAAAGAAAAAGAAGTACGTACATTACGTATGGCCGACTACGTACAGATGCGTGTATGGTGTGTACTTGTGTGGGAGGAGCACTACCTATAGTCCTCGTTGCAATCACGATGTCGCAGATCCTCCAGGGTTCTCTTTCGCTGAAAGAGAGAAAGAGAGCTCTCATCATACCCAGCAGCACTGATGAGAGCGAGGGGTGGAGAAAAATAGCAACACCCAAAGAACTGGTTGGGGGCACACGATTCCTGCAAAGAGAAAGGGGCAAAAATCGATCCGTCCAATGCGATGAGCTCTGTACCTTAAAGTGTCCTCATTTTGTCCTCCCCGCTGCGAGATCTAGCTAGGTTCAGAGGATTGGCACTCGATTTCTGGATAAACACTACGCATAATTAAGTTTGATTCTCTCGCCAAACAAGGAGAGTGGGCCTCGTGAGGTCACGGGCTCGATGCTCTACCCCGCGACGATGCCCTTTGTTTTCTGGGGTGGAAACAAGGTGTAGTGTGTTTGGATGACAAAACGATGCAAAGCATACGGTGGACGGACCATCGCGAAAAGAATCTCTCGAGGAAAGCCGACTTAAAGCTAAGATGGAATCTTTTGGTGGTGTTACCCGCGGTACGAAGGAATCCCCGAGCAAAAGATGCGAGGTTTGATTCCCATGAAGATTATGCTTGAATGGATTTGCTGCTTTTTCGTCAATGGTTTGGAGAATCTCGCTTTGGATTGCGTGTCCTCTGCGCCATCGCAAAAGAATTTCCACAGCCAAGTTGGGAGGAGAAATTTCCGCGAGGAAGCAAAGGGCCTGGAAAATTCTAGTATGTTCCAAGTGGAGGCGAAGGCGGCCACGTCATTGACTTGGTTTGGCCGGCAGTTTTGTCGGTCGCATCGGAGCCCTTGGATGCCGTCCCAATCGACGGCGCCTGTTCCATCCTCGCGTATTTATAAACGGTGCGTCCATGCCCCAACCTCACCAGTTCCTTGATTCATTTTTTAGGGTTTCTTTGATTCTTTGATTTTTAGAACGATGCAGATCTTTGTGAAGACTCTCACCGGCAAGACGATCACGCTCGAGGTCGAGAGCTCCGACACGATCGATAATGTTAAGTCGAAGATCCAGGATAAGGAGGGAATTCCTCCGGACCAGCAGCGATTGATCTTTGCCGGCAAGCAGCTCGAGGAGGGGCGCACGCTCGCGGATTACAACATCCAGAAGGAGTCGACCTTGCATCTGGTGCTGCGCCTTCGAGGAGGTATGCAAATTTTCGTCAAGACCCTAACGGGGAAGACGATTACGCTCGAGGTGGAGAGCTCCGACACGATCGACAACGTTAAGACCAAGATCCAGGACAAGGAAGGCATCCCTCCGGACCAGCAGCGATTGATCTTTGCCGGCAAGCAGCTAGAAGATGGCCGGACTCTTGCCGACTACAACATCCAAAAGGAATCCACGCTCCATTTGGTCCTTCGTCTTCGCGGGGGTATGCAAATCTTCGTCAAGACCTTGACGGGGAAGACGATCACGCTCGAGGTGGAGAGCTCCGACACAATTGACAACGTTAAGACGAAGATCCAGGACAAGGAAGGCATCCCTCCGGACCAGCAGCGATTGATCTTTGCCGGCAAGCAGCTGGAAGATGGCCGGACTCTGGCCGACTACAACATCCAAAAGGAATCCACGCTCCATTTGGTCCTTCGTCTTCGCGGGGGTATGCAAATCTTCGTCAAGACCTTGACGGGGAAGACGATCACGCTCGAGGTGGAGAGCTCCGACACAATTGACAACGTGAAGACCAAGATCCAGGACAAGGAAGGTATCCCCCCGGACCAGCAGCGTTTGATCTTTGCGGGCAAGCAGCTAGAAGATGGCCGGACTCTGGCCGACTACAACATCCAGAAGGAGTCGACGCTCCATTTGGTCCTTCGCCTTCGTGGAGGTATGCAAATTTTCGTCAAGACCCTCACAGGGAAGACGATCACCTTGGAGGTGGAGAGCTCGGACACGATCGACAACGTGAAGACCAAGATCCAGGACAAGGAAGGCATCCCCCCGGACCAGCAGCGATTGATCTTCGCAGGCAAGCAGCTTGAGGACGGCCGCACTCTTGCGGACTACAACATCCAGAAGGAGTCTACGCTTCATCTGGTTTTGCGTCTCCGTGGTGGCATGCAAATCTTCGTGAAGACTCTCACTGGCAAGACGATCACCTTGGAGGTGGAGAGCTCCGACACGATTGACAACGTTAAGACCAAGATCCAGGACAAGGAGGGCATTCCACCGGACCAGCAGAGGCTCATCTTCGCTGGCAAGCAGCTCGAGGATGGCCGGACTCTTGCTGATTACAACATCCAGAAGGAGTCGACGCTCCATTTGGTTCTGCGTCTTCGTGGAGGGCAGTGAAAAGTTTGCTTGTATTCACAATTCCTTGACTGATTTGAGCAAGGAAGTAGAATAAACTAGATTTCTTCTACACGAATTCTTGAATGGAAGGACAAGCTTGATTTTACACGTCTATCACGACTTGTTCCTTGGTTTTCTTCTTGAATGTCCTGTGTCGCTTGTTGATCTTCGTCGTCTCTGGTGGTGGCGGTGGCGGTGGCGATGGCGGTGATTGAGCTGCGGTTTTAGCGGCCTCTTGCTTGGCCAGTTCTTGCTCCTCTTCGGCCTTGGCAAACACATCCTTGAAAACCACTTGGGGAACGTAATAGTTTGTAAACCAAAAGAAGAAGATCAACACGGCACTGCCACCAAAGTAAATATCGCAACGATAAGGCTGATATTTTTTATGGTGCTTCGTCGTTCGTTTACCTGATGGCCACAAACTGGAAAATATCGCCCGGATCAGTCCAGTCGAGCCTGTCGATCTTGTCCACGGGCGCTCCGATTTGAGCTCCATCCTGCGTCTGCTCGGGCGAGGGAATGGGCCTCTTCTCCCCAGGTTTCCTGTGAAATGGCGATGTCTCGGGCGGCAATTCCTCCACTTCAAATTTGAACGTGAGCCCGACCGGAGTCACGAGATCTGGGGCGAAACCGTGCATCACGGTTGCTGCCCGGGCCCTGCGATCTCGAGAAACCCGAAATTTGCGAGACATGCGCGGCGCCCAAGCCGCATTGCAAGCTGCCAACGCCATAGCTCGCAAGAACCCTAATTCCCGAAAATAGATAGCTTAAAAAATCACACTCCTTTTTTGTAAAAGTATCAACCTTTTATCCAGCAACATGCGACGGTGACAGCTGTAGGAGGAAATCTGGGCCGTTGAAATAGGATAAAGCGTGAATATACTCGGCTGTTTGGGGTTCGAATCCCCGCCAAAATTGGGGAAATATCTTCAAGTAGGGCTGTGACACGGGGTGGCGGCAGACGGATCCCGGCCGTCGCTCCGCCGGATCAAACGGACGTTGCGGTGCCGCTGGGACTGGCTGTTGGATGCGCGCCACGTGCCCGCCCTGGGCCAATCGCCGCGGTCCACTGGAATTTCCCTCTATCCTTGTGCTGTTTTGTGTTCCATCTCTCTCTCTCCCTGTCTCTCCCGGAGCTTGGGAAGGCCAGGGGCGCGGAGGCTTTAGGGTTTAGTTAGGGCCTTATGCCGCTGGCTCGCACGGCGCTGGAGGAGGAGACGGCGTAGAGGCGCGCGGCCCTCCCCGGCGCGGAAGCTTTCCAAGGTTCTTGTTTTTCTCTCAAGGCGAGGCTAGGGTTCTTCCGCCAGGAAATATGCAGGCGCTGGCGCCTCACGCTCCACCGGAAGCTCAATCTCCGCAGCAGCAGCAGCAGCAGCAGCACCAGGGTCCGCCGCCGCCGCCGCCGCCAGCGCAGCCGCCGACGCAGCAGGCATGGATGCCGCCACAGCTGGGGATTTCACAGGCCGGGATTCTACCGCCACAGCAAGAAATGCTGCCGCCGGTGAGCGTCATGCTGCCTCCTCTCAAGCAGGGCCAGGCTCACAGCCCCGGGCACGCCAACGGGGAGCTTAAGACGCTCTGGGTGGGCGATCTCCAGTACTGGATGGACGAGGGCTACCTCTATAGCTGCTTCGCTCACACCTCCGAGGTAAGAGAGGCTCTTTTTCTTGCAATGTGCATTGACAGTGCTTGCATTGTTCTCTTTCGTTTTTTCACGATCACTGCCTTGCTTGGCTTGTGTTTTTAAATCCTTTTCTCTCTTTGGTTGGCATTTAGGTACAAGTTGCCAAAGTCATACGCAATAAGCAGACTGGATATTCAGAGGGTTACGGTTTTGTTGAGTTTACCAACCATAGCACTGCAGAGAAAGTCCTTCAGTCTTTTAATGGTACTCAAATGCCTTCGACAGATATAGCCTTCCGCCTCAACTGGGCCTGTTTTGGGATCGGGGAGAGAAGGCCAGACCAGGGTCCGGACTTCTCCATCTTCGTGGGGGACCTCGCGCCGGATGTCACAGATTACATGCTGCAGGAAACGTTTCAAAGCCGCTACTCGTCTGTCAAGGGTGCAAAGGTGGTGATGGATACTACAACCGCTCGCTCCAAGGGCTATGGCTTTGTGAGGTTTGGGGACGAAGCCGAGAAGATGAGGGCCATGACAGAAATGGCGGGTGTGTACTGCTCGACTCGTCCCATGAGGATTAGTACTGCAACACCTAAGAAATCTTTAGCAACGATTCCACCGAAAGGTTTGTTTTTTTTTATGTTTCTTATCAACTTTTTCTTTCATGTCATTGTATTCGCTTCTTTTCTTTCTGACGGAAATTCCTTAACAGTTTTCTACCCGAGTCAAAATTTTGGAGTTCCACCTCTAACTGACAATGACCCATCTAACACTACGGTAACACTCTTTCAATTAGCTTCTTGCGATGACTTTAAACTTTACTCCTCCTGAAGGTTTTCGTCGGTGGACTGGACCACAGTGTCAAAGATGAAGATTTGAAGCAGGTTTTCTCTCAATTTGGGGATATACAGTACGTCAAGATCCCTGCTGGTAAAAACTGTGGTTTTGTCCAGTTTTACACTAGGTAATTGTCTTCTGTTTTTTTTTTTGTCGTTCACAAGTTTAACATGTGTGGTGTAGGGCGAGTGCTGAAGAAGCCTTACAAAAACTTCATGGCTCGACTATAGGACAGCAAACGATTCGTTTATCATGGGGCAGAAGTCCTGCAAACAAACAGGTAAGCCGCGGAGGCTCTTAATTATCTGGTTCTGATACTTCTTTGTCACCAGCGACCACTCCAGCCATGGGGACAGCAGGTCCAGCCAGAGTTTAACCAATGGAACGGTCCTTACTACGGCTATGGGCAAGGATACGAATGCTACGGCTTTGCCCCTCCGCCACAAGATCCTGGAGCCTATGCCTACGGCAATTTTCCACAGGCGTATGGAACGTATCCCCAGCAGGTTAGCTGATTCACGCAGCTAAATTCTTGCATACTCCGCCAACTGGATCAAAGGCACATACACAGACGCATCAAGAAACTGGAGCTCGAGGGCATCAATGGGATGGGTACAGTGCTCTCTCTTTTTTTTTCCTTATCATTCGGGGCGGAGGTGATGAGTAGATTTAGCTTAGCAGTGGAGTGTGTGCTTGTAGGAGGTAGCTTTTGTTGCTTGGTTTGATTCAGACTAGTTGTAGTCCATGTGTTTGCATCTCTTTGTAAATGGCAGCAGTCATTCTAATAGACTTAACCTTTGCATTAAGGAGCTGGTGTCTTTGTGTTTGTGACGTGTGTTGAGGCAGCAGCAGAGCAGGAGAACGAGGTACGGTACCTTGTTTTTGTGTATCTATCGGGATACTAACGCACGCTTTTCTCGTGCAGTGTACTCGTGGATACAAGGTTAAACGAGCGCTGGTTGGTTATCGTTTAATTTATTTTCAAGTTGTGTTGTCGATGTGTTTTTTATCTTGTTCACGCGAAACAACTGCTGATAAGTTTGTGTTTGTTTTGGCGTGAGGTACTTCCGCTGGCGACGTTTGCTCAAATCATGGCGAGTCTAGTTTCCTGGTGTGCTCTGGAGCGTTTGATTGCTTTATTCATTTCTTGTGGTTGTGTTTGTAGAGACGTGGGGAGCTACTAGTAATTTTCGTCACTCAGGCAGCAGCGGTGCAGCAGTGAAAGAGGTAGTGACTTTGTGTATCTATTGAGATCGCAACACTATCCTTTTTTCTTGCGTGCAGGCTTCTGCATACTCGACAGCAACATATTTGTGGTTTGGATCACCTAGATCAATGTAAGAGCAAGTGCGCGCGTGATGATTGCTCTAACTGTGTCATTACTAGACATTTTAAAGTTTCTGCTTCATCGCAGGATAGGTACCTCTCTCACAACCGGTCTTTTCCGTTCTTTTAGTTTCTGTTTGTTTTACTTGCACCTCACCGCTTCTGCATACTGAGTTGAATGTGACAGAAAAAGTTGCCAGAAAGAGAGGGAGAGAGAGCGGGAGAGAAAGGAAACTAATGAATGATTAAAACTAACACCGCCTTCGTCCGTTTCTGGCCTTGCAGCGGTCGCTCAGTTGTCTTTGCCTGACGTATTTGGGAACGTCAGGCCTTTGCATTTTCCGTTACAGGCGAAACTCCTGGACGAGCTACAGAAAAGGTGGGTTTAATCTTTTTCCCGGTGTATGTATATGTATGTTTCATGTACGTGTGACGTCGCTAACTTGGTCTGCGAAACAGGTACTGGCTTTGCAGTGCGCAGACACACCCAGCCTTTCATCATGGGAAGTTGGTCTCTTTCGAAGGCCTCGCTCTTCCTAGACTGTAAGATTTGTTTTTTGCTTGCTTTAGTTTCCTTTCAGAGAGAGAGAGAGTGAGAGGGATTTGGGATGGACAACTAGTGCTTCTGCCTGTGAAGTCTTCTTCAGCTTGCTTGCAGTGCAGTAGAGACAGTGTGGAAAGAATGGCCAAGTTGCATCATCTGCAGCTATTTCTAAGTTTCTTTTCCCGCTTCTCTCTCCATCAGTCAGTCAGTGCATTGTATTTTCCTGTACTAACGACGTTCGTTGCTGGTTGTTGGATTCCAGATATACGTTGTGGAGACATGGAAACATGTATAGGCATACCTCACAGCTTTAACCACCGTTGCTGTAAAGTCCGGAGTCCAGGGTAAGGAACACAAAGTAGCAGGCTTTTCTTCGTGCATTGCTCGGGTCTAGCGCTACCAGGTTAGATAAAGCAGCCTTTTCCTCCTGGTTGCTATTGATCATCGCCACCTCGGGAAGTAAACCAACTAGGGGACGTTTGATCGTTTGTCTGGAAGAGAAAGCGTAGCACAGTAGTCGAAGGACAGTGGCACGGCACGGCACGGGAGGATTTGGCTTGGGATTTGATACTTGCTCCAAGTTTGACTTGCATCTGTAAGTATCTAGAGGTACTTATTAAGTCTGTGTCTTCCATCTTGCAGGTGTGTCTCAAACGAATTCGAGTATGATTAAGAATGATGGAGGCCCTGAGAGAGATTGAGCATCGAGGGGGAACAAATAAAGACAAGATGTTTGCACACGGGTATGAGAGTTTTATGTGTTAGATTCTCACTTCTTTCACGCTTTGTCCTTTGGTATTATAACAGAAAGTTCCAGCCACCTAACAGCGGTGGCAAAGAAACACCGATGATCAAAGAGACGAGCTGTTGTTCCGTCCGTCCTTCTCGTCCCTCTGCGAGAAAAGAATAAGAGAACGAGCTGAGACACGCACACACACACAGAGGTAAGCAGACTACACACCACCACCTACTTAGCTGATCTCGATTGATGACAATATCTTTCTTTCTCCATGGGACTGCAGAGGGCATCGATCAGCATTGGCTATTTATATTACATACGACGGACGAACATACCAATCAATCAATCAATCAGGCAACAGTGGCGCGCAGCAGCAACAGCAACAGCACAGGTCTTTCAGAATTGAAAAGACTTTCTCTCTCTCATATTTTTCTTTGTTCTTCTCAGGGTCAAGAACGAAAAAATCAAGCCAAAGAAAAGGAGGACAACTTACAACTTCAACTCGCAGAGGTGCAAGTCAATGAAACGCTGGGGGATCACGATATCTCTAGGATCCAATCTATCTTCTCTTAAATGTGGAGAGGTGCTACTATAGTCAAAGGATATTCCGACCGCGACAGAGCTCATGAATAACAAAGATTCGCTTGTTCGCTTCTCAGGGGTCGCCGTCTCCGGCAGCGGCCAGAGTGGTCCCCGCAACAGCGACCGCGACAGCGACAGCGACGAACAACAATACAAACGCCACCAACAAAAGGGGGAGGGGTCGCGGGATCGATCCGGGACCAGGCCGGGAGAGAGACAAGGAAGCTACCATAGACAAAAGGAGATAAACACACAAAGAGAGGGATTTCTACTTTACTTTTGGCAGGGAGAAGCCAGCCAAGAAACATATCACTGTCACGAGCGAAAGAGTTGCGTGTCCCAAGTTTGGTTCTTTGGAGTGGTAATGTTGCTGGTGTTGTGACATCTCAACAATCACAGGTCACACTTGGCAGCCAAACAACAAGGCACTCAAGGCAAAGCAAACGTTTCTATTACTATTAAGCAAGCCAAGCTTTCACCTTGTTTTAAGAGATTAAACTTTTATACTCGTTTTAAAGCATCAAACTTTTCTCCTAAAGAAGATCATTACCGAGATCCCGTGTTGTTCTGACCCGTTCTTGGCCGGGAGTATAAATTGCCTGGGTGTGGGGCTTCTCTCCTTTCTTATCTTTCTTCCTTGTCTCGTTGTTTTTGTTTTTTTTTTTTCATTTTTTGCCGCTGCGGGGTCAATTGGTTGGTTAGAAAACGGCGACAATCGCACCACCGCGGATGTGGAATGAGGACTAACTCTTCTCTCCTTTCTTCCCTCATTTCCTAGCAGCAACAATCGAAAGGAAAAAAAAAAAATTCAGAACTAAAGAAATATATACAGGAAGAAAGAAGAAAAACCAAAAGGAATAGAGCACAAGTACCTGCCTGTTGTTCTTGCTTCGATGCTTCGATGCTCCAGAAATTCCCTTCGCTTTTCTCTCACCGGCGCATTATAATCAGTAGGTAGTCGGATGGAGATTTGCGATCAAAGTACTCTTCTTGCTCGCCCCTGGCTTGTCGACGCTGATCGAGCCGGAAAGATGAATAACTGCTTTTGCTGTTGAGTGATCCGTGTCAGTCTTTCCTTCTCTTCTGGCGGTGAAGCGTCGCCGCCACGAGCGACAGTCACTGTTGAATCTCACGAGCAGCAGCATCTGGAGAGGTTCTTAAAGTTCTTCCATCCTGTCCTCCATCCAATTCAGAGCTTTGATGGCAGAGAGCTCCTTCTTTCCCGGCCGCCAGGAATCGTCGTCCACTAAGTCGTATAGAGGCTTGGGCCTTCTCACAGCGGCAGCGGCAGCTGATCACAGCCAAAGTAGTCACCAAAGCAGCAGCTCCAACGAGGATGACAGAGGAGATGATCGGAGGAGCTCAAAGCAGAAGAAAGGATATCTCAACCAGGATGACGAGGATCAAGACGACGACGATGGGGACGAAGACGACGAAGAAGAAGAAGCTGGCGGTGTCGAGGACGCTGAGTCGCTGGAAGAGCCGGAGGATAAGTTGAGGCTGGTTTCGGGAGGAGCTGGGGCCGATCATGAGAGCGAGGGAAATTTTTCCAGAGTTGTCTATCCCCGGGGTCATTGGCGGCCTGCCGAGGATGATAAGCTCAAGCAGCTGGTTGCTCTCCATGGCCCCCAGAATTGGAACGTAATCGCGGAGAATTTGCACGGGCGATCAGGTACGATACACAATCTTTCTGCATCCCCCGGGGATATCATCAATCTTCTCCCGTTTCTCCGTTTCACGATATCCCAGTTTGCATCACTGCATCGCTCCCGCTGCTCCAAAAGATCATCTCTTTGCACTGACCGCTGGAGAATTCGGACTCCCCGAAAGTCATCGTTGCTAGAGACATTCGGACCCGACTGGCTGACCGTCATCTGATATCTGTCTTATCTGTCTGTGCAGGAAAGAGCTGCAGGCTTCGATGGTTTAACCAGCTAGACCCGAGGATCAACCGGCGCCCCTTCAGCGAAGAAGAAGAGGACCGGCTCATGGCTGCCCATCAAATCCACGGCAACAAGTGGGCTCTCATTGCCAGGCTCTTCCCAGGTAGAACTGACAACGCCGTCAAGAACCACTGGCACGTTATAATGGCGAGGAAGCTCCGGGAGAAGTCGAGGAGCTCGTCGAGCAGCAGCAGCATCACTAGAGCTAGAAAGTCCCAATTCCCGACGTCCCTGGCGCGCAGAACGTCTTCCAAAAAGGCCTTTCCCTCCGGCGGACAGACTGTGGCTCAGTCCCTCACTGCCTGGATCCACAAGTACTCCATCATTGCCTCGTCTTCTTCAGCAGCAGATAGCGGGTGCTACAACTTTGGTGGCAATGCTTCTCACGATCACGGTGTCGACAACAGTTTCTATCACCACCAGGCCGCGGCAAACAGGGAATTCTCCAAGCTCAAAGGACTCCTCTCTCTGTGCCCTCCTCAAGTGGATCCTTACAAGTATGCAAAAACCTTTCCTGGAGGTACAAACAGCTCGCTTAGTGCAACATTGACAAAAGGAGAAAACTTACCAAAGATACGTGCGTATGCTGCAGAAAGGAGAACATGCCCACCGGTTTTAGCTGGATTTGAATTCCCTGACGTTCGGGAAGAAATGGAGACTTCTAACAGCACTGTTTTCGTGAGCCAACAGCCGGAAGCAAGCCCTTACAAGCTCCAAGATCGAAGTTTTTTCTCACATAATGTATCTTCCACCGCCAACTTCGTCCACGATAGGAAAAGGATTGCAAACTCTGACACCAGTGACCTGAGTACTGCGTTGCGGTTGGGAAGACATTCCCTCGACCACCAGCAGCAACAGCACCAGCTTCAACACCAGCACCAACAGCAGCACCAGCAACACCAGCAGCAGCAAGTTTCAGGTGAAACGGCTTTCTATGACTTCCTTGGAGTAGGAGTTTCCTAAAAACCTTTCCTGCATCCGCACTTCTGCAACGTGTCAAAGTTGGCATACGAAACGCTAACAAAATATCTAACATGTGACAGCAATCCACAAACAACTCTGGAATGCAAGAAGCACAATCCAGCATACTGTGTTGACATATACAATCATAGGGAAGAAGATGAAGAAGAAGAAAAGGTAGCAGCCAGCACTCACTGCGAGGAAAAAGCTTTTGCGTTGGTCGTTGTCCAGAGGATCAAAATCGTCGCGAAAAAAAAACTGTGAAGCCGGCCGAATTTGCAACTAGTATCTGTAAAGTTGTCGGGGAACTCACTGATTCTCTTCCGCGAGAATTATCGAAATAGAGTACTTTAATCAATCACCTGTTTGTATATATATCGTTGTCGCAATGAATACCCTTCTCTCCACGCCAGAAGAAAAAATAAAGCATTGCCGTGGACGCAATGGTTTCTCTCCAGGCTATCTGGTGATTATAGAACTCAGCCACGAGCAAAGAAAATTCAAAAGTACCTTTACCCGCGAAGAATAACGGAATATGCAGCGATGTCAACGGAATGTGCGAAAACTCCCGCTAGAAAATTTTTAAAACTCCCGCCCTAGAGATACCTCCGGTTTTCGGCAAGATTCATGGCGTGGAGCTTGATCCCCTTGATCCTCATCATCCGGCGGATCCTCTCGACGTCCTTGGTCCTCCCCACGGCCGCGTAGATGTGTGTCATTAGAAGATGCGTGGCCGGGCGCATTGGATCCAGCTCGAGCGCTCGATCGGCCGCCCTCTCGCCCCTCTCCACATCCACATGAACCCTACACGCGCCCAGGAGAGTGATCCACGCCACGGCGTCTGGACAGAAGGGCATGGTGTCGACCAGCTCCTCGCAGTCCCGGATCCTTCCGGCGCGGCCCAGGCAATCCACCAGGCAGCGGTAGTGCTCGATCTGTGGCGCCAGCTCGAAATCCTGGCTGATCCACCGGAAATATTCCCTGGCGTCCTCGACGCGGCCGGCGTGGCTGCACGCCCCCAGTACCTCGAGGAAGATCACGTCGTCGGGCGGGGTTCCATCGAGCGCCATGGTGTGGAAGAGATCCAGGGCGGCGCGGCGCTGGCCGCTGTGCGCGTAGGCGCCGATGAGGCTGCTCCAGCTGATGCCATTGCGATCTGGCATGGAATCGAAGAAGCCCTGCGCGGCGGCGAAATTTCCCCTCCGGACGTGCGCGGCTATGAGGATGTTCGAGGAAACCGAGTTGCGCTCAGGCATCTGCGAGAAGATCTCCATCACGGCCTCGAGCTCGCCGATCTCGGCGTAGGCGGCGATCATCGTGTTCCAGGACACCACCGATCGCTCCGGCATGCGATCAAACATGGAGCGCGCCTCATCGATGAAACCCTCGTTTGCAAACGATGAGAACATTGCCGTCCAAGCGATGACGTTCCGTACCACCAGCCCGTCAAAAACGACCTTGGCCTCCTCCAGATGCCCGTTTTGGGCAAATGCAACGATCATGGCGGTGCCACAGATGACGTCCTTGACGGGCACGGTGTCGTACAGCGCCCGCGCCATGTCCACCTCGCCCGCCTCGCCGTACGCCTGGATCATGGAAGTGGCCAGCGCCACGTCGTCGTACGGCAGGCGCTCGTAGTAGCGCCTCGCCTCCTCCAGATGCCCTGAGGCGGCATATCCCTTGGCCATCACCGCCACGGCCCACGACGAGATCTCCGTGAGGCTCTCGAATATTCTTCTTGCCTCCTCCATTCTCCCATTGTGCGCGTACACAGAGAGCATCACGTTGATGCACACCTTGTCCTTCTCGGGAATATCCCGGAACATTCGCTCCGCCGTGTCTAGGTGGCCGTTTAAACCGTACGCCTGGACCATCATCGAGTAAGAGGTTTGGTTGTGTACGGGCATGAGGTCGAAGAGATACTTGGCGTCTTCCAGCCTCCGGCTCTCACCATACCCGCCGACCATGGTATTCCACGCGACTATGGTCTTCTCGGGCATCCTCGAGAACAACCCGGCGGATTCGTCCACGTCACCGGCCTGGAAGTAGGCGGCAATTACCGCCGTCCAGCTCACGACGTCGCGCTCCGGCATCTCCTCGAATAATTCCCTCGACTCCTCCAGATGCCCCCGCTGGGCATGTGCCTGCACCATAGTCGTCCACGTCACGACGTCCTGGATGGGCATGGTATCGAACAGTCGCCGGGCCTCTAGCAGGTTGCCTTGCTGGCAGTAGCACAGTATGAGGCTATTCCACGTCACGATATTTCTCTCGGGCATCCTGTCAAAGAGATCTCTCGCGCGGGTGATTTGCCCAGCGTTGGCATATGCGCCGAGCATCGCGGTCCAGGATATAACGTCTTTGTCCCAGCCCTGGTGGAATATTCTCTCGGCCTCTTCCACATCGCCAGACTCCGCGAAGGCCTGGAGCATGGTGTTCCAGGTGATTCGATCACACTGGGGCATCTTTTGGAAGAGGATCTTCGCGTCGTCCAGGCGCCCGTTTTGGACGTAGGCCTGGACCATCCCCGTCCAGGTGATCACATTGCGCTGCGGCGCACGGTCGAAGAGATCCTTCGCTTGATCGAGCTCGCCGCTCTGGGCGTAGGCCGTGATCATCGCGTTCCAGGTGACGACGTTCTTGACGGGCGATCGATCGAAGAGGCGCTGGGCGTCGGCAAGGCGGCCGTGATTGGCGTAGGCCTTGATGATGATGTTCCAGGAGAAGGAATTCGGGTCGCGGATGCGATCGAAGACGAGCTGGGCATCGTCGAGGCTGCCGCATTTACCGTAGGCCTGGATGAGGAGATTGGCGAGGTAGACATTGTCGCGCCCGTCGCGCCCCTTGATCTCGAGGATCTCGCGGTGGACCTTCTGGGCGCCCGCGTAATCCCTGTTGTTGCCGCAGTCTCGGAGGATCTGCGCCTGGGCCTCGAGGAGATCGTTCTTGACGGCGATGTCGACCCTGGTGAGCGGCGATCTCGGGGCCAACTTGGTCTGGAGCGCTTTCCTCGCTAGATGCCCCACCTCGGCGTGATCCGAGAGGGATTCCAGGTAGTGGCGCGGCAGCACAAGCATCAGCTTGCCCTTGTGCTTGCCAAATGACATGCGCGCCTCCGCGAGGCATTCCGGGGCCACCGCCCCAAGCATCGAAGAACCCTAAAACTCCATCCCGCCAAACTTTGTGTTTAAAAATTTAAAATACTTTTCGCGCAAATGGAGTCTACCGTTGTAAATTCTCTTGCTTTGTCGCTGCGTGAGTGTAGAAGTGCGAGCGAGGGGAAACGCATCCACAGCCAGATCCAGTCCCTAGGGCACGGCCACGACCGGTATCTTGCGAATCTTCTCATCCAGATGTACGGAAGGTTCGCGAGGTCCCAAGAAGCGTACGAAGTCTTTGCTGGGATCAAGCAGCCCAATGTTTACTCGTGGAATATAATGGTCAGTGCCTATGTCCAGTGTGGATTGATCTCGGAAGCTAAATCTATGTTTGATAGGATGCCGGAGCGTGACACTGTCTCGTGGAATGCGATTCTCGCGGCATATGCGCAACAAGGGCTTCTTGACGAGGCCGAGGAGATCTTTCAAGCTATTCCAAACCCTAACGGAGTGTCCTGGAACACACTTGTCAATGCCTATTGTCAATTTGGAAACATCGAGAGGGCTGCCGAGATCTGGAGCGCAATGCCAAACAAGAACACTGTCTCCACATCCGCAATGGTTCTAGCATATGCCCAACTTGGGCAGCTCAATTTTGCGGAGAGACTCTTTAAATCACTGCCGCAGAAGGATGTTTCGTGCTGGACAGCTCTACTGCTTGGTTACGCTCGTCATGGCCAGATTTCTCTTTGCAAGAAGTTCTTTGATCGAATGGAAGAGCGTGATATAGTTTCCTGGACTGTGATGCTTCAGGCATATGCCCAATCTGGGCATATCGACGCTGCGAAGGATATCTTTTCCAGAATGCCCGACTGGAATCTAATCTCCTGGAATGCAATGCTTGCGGTATATGCCGAGAACGAGAGCCTGGAATCCACGCTTGCGTTCTTTGAAACACTAAAAGAGCGAGACATTGTGTCATGGAGCACGGTGCTGGGAGCATATGCGCAAAATCGGCCCGGCAAGCTCTATGACCTCCTAGAGACCGTACCAGAGCTCAACGTGGTGGCCACGACCACGGTGGTCCAGGGTTTTGGGCAGTACGGAGACGTGGTAAGCGCACGGCTGTGGTTCAAACGGATGCCGGAGCTCAACCTGGTTGCGTGGAGTACCATGGTACAGGTATATTCCCAGAATGGCTATGCTGACGAAGCGCGGGAGCTGTTTGCTAGGATGCCAGAGTGGGACGTGATTGCGTGGACGACGATGCTGGCGACAAGTGCCGCGTTTGACACCCTCGATGCCACCAAGGCAATTTTCTTTCACAAGATGCCAGCGTGGAATATGGTGGTGTGGAACACGATGCTCGTGGCGCTCGCCCAGAAGCGCCACGTGGAGGAGGCCCAAAGCCTGCTGGACAGGATGCCGGACAGGGACGTGGTGTCGTACACCACCATGGTGACGGCATATTCGCAGGAGATGGACGTCCTGGGCGCAAAGCATGCCTTCGATTCCATGCCCGAGAGGAATCTGGTATCTTGGAACGCCATGGTGGCCGCATATGCCCTGAATGGCAATGTGATTGGCTGCCGGCGTTTGTTCGACGCGATGCCGTCCAGGGACGTGGTGTCGTGGACGGCTGTGATCACCGCGTTTGCTCATTGTGGCGAGGGCGAGAAAGCCCTCGATCTGTTCTTGGCCATGGCGCTCGAGGGATGCGATCCAAATGAGGTGACATTCCGGAGCGTCTTGAGCGCCTGCGCCTACATCGGCTCCGTGGATCGCAGCAGGGATTTCTTTCTTCTCGTGACAGGGGACTTTGGGATCGCGCCGGGCAGGGATCACTTCGTCTACATGATCGATATCTTCGGCCGTGGCGGGCAGCTGGAGAATGCCGAGGAATTGCTGCGCGCGATGCCGTTTGCGCCGGATGCTCTGGTTTGTAGGGTCTTGCTGGCGTCTTGCCGATCGCATTACGATTTGTGTCGGACAGGGCGGATTGCGGATCGAGCGCTGAGGCTAGATCCTCGCACCGGATCGACGTATGTGCTGCTGGCAAATCTGTCCAAGAGCGTTTTTAAAATGGGAATTGGCGGCATAGTAACTTAGCAGTTCCAAGGTTTGGTTTTGACTCATTATTTGCAAGGTTTGCTTTTGTTTTTTATTGAAAATCAGCTGTGCTTACGAAAGCTTCCACTATCGATAGGTAAGGTTTGATGACAGGCAAGGCTTACAACCTCGCAACGTTTGGAGAGACTTTCAAGTCAAGGCGATGAGGTCTCTCAGCTTCTGGATGAGAGCACGGTCGTCAATCTGGAACGCTTTCGCGATCACGTCGTCGTTGATTGGAGGATTGGAAGCAAACACCGCCTTGGCCACCTGAGACGCCCCGGGGTTCTGGCTGTTGAAGCCAGCGAGCCCAACCGCAGGCTCCTCTCCCACATTGAGCTGGAAGTGGATGAGCCCCCGAGGGAAGACGAAAAGATCCCCTGGATTGAGCTTTTGGGCGAAGAGCTTGTTGTCCGGCAAGGTGGTGACGAACCCGACGTAGAGGGTCCCGTGCAGGACGAAGAGCAGCTCGGTTCCTCGGGGGTGGACGTGGGGGGGATTGGTGCCGCCGGGAGCGTAGTCGATGCGGGCAAAAGCGACGCCAAAGGTGTTGAGACCGGGGAAATTGTTGACGCTCGCCAGCGTGACGTTGGAGCCGAGCTTGTTGACGGTGTTCCCGGCAGTCGCCAGGAGGCTCGACTTGAAGTCCTCGGCTTTGACATCGTCGGCCGCCTTGCAGACGAAGCCGTTCACCTTGATCTTGGAGGAATTGTCCGCAACGCAAAAGTCCTGCAGCAGATCTTCATCCGCGGCATGCACCAACAAGATGGAGCTGATTGCTAGGAGGAAGGATAGAACAAAACGAAGATGAGCCATCTTGCGAGCTTGGGAAAGAAGTGATGGAGCTATGGGGGGGAGGGGCAGCCATTTAATAGCCGGAGGAGGGGAGCTTTGGATGACTTCGTCGAGAGTCGTGCACGAGTTTTTTCAGTCAGGTACACTTCTCTTCCCTTCTATTTCATTTTTTACTCTTGCTGTCTGCGTACCACAATCTGATTTTCTTCCTGCCTAGTCAGTCGTCTCGGACGTTTTCTTGCCTGCGTCAGACATGACGCCGTCAGAGTCGTATTTTTTATGTGTAGAAAATGACGACCTTGGTTTTGATGGTAGGTACTTGTCCCTCTTATATGACCCGGTGAAACTTGGAATTTGAGGTGATAGTGCACCAATTTGCTTTTTACCTTCTTTCCAGAGACTTTTTGCCAGGGACGTATGGATTTTCTTTTTGATGCCAATAACTTGAATAAGAATTTCATCCGAGGAAAGGTGTACCATTTGATACTCCCAAGGCTCAAACTACCGACAAGACTCACATGTTTGGAAATTTAATATGAATTACCCTGATAGAAATGACGTACTTTGATCGATAGACCCATAAAGTTTCGTTCATTTTGCATCAACAATGGACCGTACACAATCGTTCATGCTGACACTATAATAGTAATACATGTCTTTCGGCCCGTATGGAGGCATAAGGCCACTGGGACCAAGGGGGAGAACTACCTGTTTCCTTTGGCAGATTTGCTACCAACTTTGCAACCCCAGGCGGATTCCTCGGGGATGGACGGACTTGCAGCCCTCGGGTTTGACGTCCCGTTCTCCTTGATCTTGGCAGCATTGTCCAAAAGCCCTGTAGCATGTCTTCGTCCCCGACTGGCGAAGTGAGCATGACGCTTCTCCAACCACGAAGACGAACAATCTTCGGAGGGCTTCTAGAACTATTGTGGCTGAACCTGGTCATCTTTAAGTCTAGGTTCTAGGGATTCGTATATCTCACCAACTTTTAGCACGATGCAAACAAGTCATATACTCTAGGAGCAAATGAAGAAAAGTTTTTTTGGAAAGAGTACAACCATGTGCAAACTAAAGGAAGATATTATCTATATATATAATAATATCCATTAGTAGCTTTATGATAAGTTTTTTTTCAATAATAAAAGGAGACTTGAACCATGTTATATGGCAGATCACTGATGCAAATTGTATTCTTGAGTTTGTGATAGAGTAGCATATCAAGTATGTTTGACTAAAGGACAATTTAGGATCCCCTTTCTTAATGCCCTTTCGGTCTAAATGCAGATGTGATGATCAGTTTCTCAACTAGTTTAAGTAAAAATTTAATAAAGGGTCAAAAAATATTAACTTCTTATTATCATAGTAGTAAGGAAAAAATATCCAAAAAGACTAACTGACAGAAAAAAACTAGACAAAGATAAACCAATTGTTTAAAACTCAACAAGAGTCCGAGTTGTGTTCATCAATTGTTAAACTTATTATATTTTCTTTATGACATAAACAGGCATTTTATTTATAAATTATTTGAAATTTTATTGATTTTTATTCTAGAGGATTTTAAATATGATCATATATAATATATTCATTAAATGGATGATTTTTTTATGATGAGTTACATTAAATTGTTTTGTGTTAATGCTTGGTTTGTTTACTTATCTTTTCTAAATATTCAAAAAGTTAGAAATAATATTTTCCTATTCTCGTTTTTACAAGATAATATATTAATTCCATTTTTTTCCAGATTAAATCACCCTAGATAGCTTAAAAGTGTGATTTAACCTTTTTTGTCATTCACTTCTTTGATTTGCTGTGGTGTTGTGTTTGCATACATTACAGAGACTAAGTGAAACTTCAAATTCTATGGGGAAAAAGAGGAATGGTGAGGAAAAGACCTGGAATCTCAAGCTTTTTAATAGTATATATAGTTGTGATTATTTACTGCAATGAAGGAAAATTTATAATTTATAAATACAAGATTAGTCTGAGAACATATTAACTTTTATATAGTAGAATAAGCTAAAATAAACTCGGAATTCTATAAACGATAAGAAGGGTCAAAATTATAAATACAAGATTAATGAATAAAACTGTTTGATGGTAGAATATCCCAGAAAACGCAAGTATATTCTAGTTATATCCACTACCACAAGTAAACCAAAAACTATTTACATGCAACAACCAAAAGTTTATATTGTGTATGATCAGAAACATTTAGTATACAAGCTACAACATTCATTTTATGGTTTTAAATTACTTCTCTAAAATTGAGTCGAATTTACATGGCAATATGGTGCTAATTGTAATATTTTTAAGAAACACCATTTTCTTTTGTTGAATTATTATAATAAAAAATTATTCAAATTAGAAAAAGAAATCTCAAATTCGTTGAAATCAATCTTTCTAAATGTTCTGATGTTTTGTGCTAATGATTGTTTTGTAAACCACAATCAATTTCAAAATATACGTTTTGGAATATCAATATACGTTAGCAAGGGTATTCGGCCTTACTGCTTATTAGAAGCAACTAAAAATACCTTAAAGGGCATTATTAATTATGCCATTATGGCATTATCAAATATCACCATATAAGTCTTGTTCAGCTATTGATTTCAAAACATAATGTCATGTAGTTTAATTGGATATCAACATCAGTTCTCTCTTAATTTCAACAGTGAAAACTTTCTCCTTGGAGCAACCAGATGACACAATTGCCTGCAACATTTATATAAATTAACTTAACCAAATTCCCATGGGTGATACAAATGGACGACTTTGACGGCTTCATCAGACGCAGGTAAGCCAGTGGATCAAGAAGGATCAAAGTTTTGTCCCTTGAATCTCTGTCACGAGCAGCGTTAACAAGTAAAATCCATTACTTCTATGTAATTGCTTATGTGGAATAGTTTATTTTTTGGCAAATTTGCTACCAACTTCAGTGCAGTTTTGGTTAATGCTCTTTAAAACCGTCTGGTGCTCTCAGAAAATGGTGCACTATAAATTTGGCCATATTGTAGGCATTGGACTTCTAGAAGTTTTGCTTTGCATGGGAGATTGTTGCGATCAAAAGCTGAAGTAATCTACCAAGGCCAATGCAAGTGACTCAAATTCTCAATGTTTATATTGCACATTTAAAATGAAACGATCTTATGGCTTCAGGTTTATTAATAAAAATCTCTAATAATAGAATCAACGAAACATTCAAGTCATGCTGATGAGCTCTCTCAGCTTCTGGATGAGACCACGGTCATCAATCTGGAACGCCTTGGCGATCACGTCGTCGTTGATGGGAGGATTAGAATCAAACACCGCCCTGGCCACTTGAGACGTCCCGGGGTTCTGGCTGTTGAAGCCAGTGAGCGCGACCGCAGGCTCCTCTCCCACATTGAGCTGGAAGTGGATGAGTCCCCGAGGGAAGACGAAAAGATCCCCTGGATTGAGCTTTTGGGCGAAGAGTTTGTTGTCCGGCAAGGTGGTGACGAATCCGACGTAGAGGGTCCCATGCAGGAGGAAGAGCAGCTCGGTTCCTCGGGGATGGACGTGGGGGGGATTGGTGCCGCCGGGAGCGTAGTCGATGCGGGCAAGAGCGACGCCAAAGGTGTTGAGACCGGGGAAATTGGAGACGCTCGCCAGCGTGACGTTGGAGCCGAGCTTGTTGTCGGTGTTCCCGGGAGTCGCCAGGAGGCTCGACTTGAAGTCCTCGGCTTTCACATCCTCAGCCGCCTTGCAGATGACGCCGTTCACCTTGATCTTGGAGGCATTGTCCGCAACACAAAAGTCCTGCAGCATATCTTCATCCGCTGCCTGCACAAGAAGCGAGGATGAAATGGTGGCAACTAGAGCGAAAGCAAGGGCGGTGCTAAGACGAGCCATTCTAAAAGACAATCTTCGCAAAGGGATTCATCCAGCTTCGGGGCTTTTTATAAGGGATTTGTGAGTGGAGGTGGCTGCGATCTTCTAGAATTGGGTATTGTGTCTGGACCCGGTCGTAATGGTGGCATGGTCTTCAGGTCTAATTCTAGCAGTGGTGGATTCATTCCGCTTTGATTATGTCATGAGACTCTCCCACCAACTTTCGCATGATCTGGCAGAGGAAATTTGAACACGGTGCGGGAGGGAAAACGGTTCAAAAAGGCTCAGATCCCGTGACCGTAAAAGTTGCAAAAGATAAAAAAGCAAACGAGTCATAGCTACGTTGTACGTCCAGATTTTATGTATATTCTCTTCCAGATGTGAGTGTCTTTCTAGCATGGCAGCAACACCGGGAACAGAGCAAGGAGCAAACAAAGAAAAGCTTTCAGATGTCCTGCAGAGAGATTGCTTGCAGGATGAGCACGACGAGGCAGCCCAGCAGCAGGCCAAGAGTTGGAGACACTTCACTGACAAGATTGTGCAACTCCGTTTTTGCATGAGATCACTGGCGAAGAAGATTGCAACCAAGTTTCAGAGAGTTCACAGCCAGGTCTGCGCGGAATGTAGGTGTGAGAACCAGCAGGTGCCGCAGCCGAGATTCATATTCCGTGTTGTGGAATCCACGAAGTCCGCGAGCATGCGGGTGTTCTCGAGAAACAGTAGCAGTGGCGCCGGGGATTCCTCGAGAACTGTCAGGCTTGCAACGATGAACGTCGCAATGTTCTCGTTAGCTTCTGCTGTTCCAGGTAACAAGTCTCAAACCTTATACTTTCATGCAGAAGATCTAGATCTCTCATCAGGCAACGTTTCGTGCACTCTTTTGAATCATGCAACGTTGGAAGGATACTCCAGCATGGATTGCTACAATCCCACATTTGGATCTTGCCCAACGCCGCCGCTTGGTGCGCTCTTGCTGGAACCGATCAGTCCGCCAGCAGACCAAGTCGAAGCCGAGGCGATTGCAACCGTTTTCGCGCACCACCACCGCTCGAAGGTGAATCCGGCCTTCAGCCCAAACCCGTTCTACAGCTTCCACTCGAGCCCCTGCATCGAGCTGGGCACCCCGCTCTTCGCGAAGAGCTTCCACAAGGCCTCGGTGTTTGAAGTGCTGAGAGACTCCAAGGCGGACTTGATAGCGCTCCAGGAAGTCCGGGCCGAGGAGGAGAAAGGCATGTCGCCGCTGACGGACCTGGCCGAAGCACTGGGCATGCACTACGCTTACGCGGAGAGCTGGGCGCCGGAGTTTGGAAACGCGATACTTTCCCGGTGGCCCATCAAGAGTACGAGCGTCAAGAGGATATACAACTCTTCGGACTACAGGCAAGCACCACTCTGGAGATCTTGAGTGAATAGCTCTGAAACTCTCGATTGCTTTCTCACAGGAACTTGCTCAAAGTGGTGGTGGACGTGCCATCGTTTGGAGAGGTTTGCTACTGCTGCACTCACCTCGACCATCTGGACGAGGACTGGAGGATCAAACAGGTCTCGGCCATACTGGAGGACACGAAAAAGGTGCCGCATTTTCTAGCCGGCGACCTTAACTCTCTCAACCGGCCAGACTACTCCCAGGAGCGCTGGGCCGAGATAGCCAAGGCAAGCTCTTTCTTCCAAGCTTGCCAGGTTACGTGAAGACTCCATGATCCTTGCTTTCTCGCTGTGTTTCCAGCTGCGAGCGGAGAACAGGAAAATGGCTCCCAGGTCTGATGTTATGGAGAGATTGCTGGTCGAGAAAGGTTACATGGATTCTTGCGCGGTGGCCTCTCCGGAAATTCCAGCACTGGTTCGCGGCCAAGGTGGGAACCCTTCGCACTCTTCTTACTTTGTAACGCTGCTCGTGAGTTTTAACACACAGAGATTCAAGGGACTTGCAAGCACAACACGCGGATCGACTATATACTCGCGTCACCACATCTTCAGTACAGATTTATCCCGGGCTCATACAAAGTGGTGTCCTCTAGAGGTACCTCAGATCACCACCTTGTCACTGTTGACATTGGGTGGTCGTAAGGATCAAAGAATGCTTCCAACAAAACCTTTTTCTTTTCCTCTCGTTCTAAGCCTCAGGGCTATGATCTTCTTCGAGCTCTTCTCCGGCACTCGAAGCACTGATCCCAGTGGTCGCTGCTTGCCAATCTCGGGGCAGTGGACTGTGGCCGTGGTGGTGCAGGTGTCACTTCTTTCCCTTCTCGCAATGCTTTCAACTCCTCGTTCAAGTCCTCGATCTGTCTTTGCTGTCGCAAAAGCTGCGCAAGTATATTTGGTTAGAAGAAACGTAAAGGATAGAAGAAAGCTCCTTACAGTTTGAAGGATCTCTTTCTCCAGTCTCAACCTCTCGACCTGCGGGACGAGTGGCTTTAGATTCAAGAGCGTGAGCAAATATTATAACAAAGTTCCAACCTCGCTGGTTTGTGTTTGCGACGAAGTCGAGCCTGGCATTTGGAATGGAGCATGGGGAGGGGTTGACGCTGCCGGTATGTAGCTCGCTAAAACGTTCGCTCGAGCTGCGGGTGGAGAACTGGGAGACGAAGGTCCTGCGGGATTTGGACTTATCAAGTTGGATCCAGGAAGTAACATCTTGCTATCCACGACAGCCAGTGGTCCCAAGTGTGGACCGAAGCGACTAGCGAGTGCCGCCGCGCTATCCTACACCGAAGCTTTCAGTTTTGATGTTTCGTAAACTGAGCAACAAACCTGAGCAAATTGCAGCAATTGTTCCGTCACTCCTTGTTTCAAGCCCACACCTAGAAGGAAAAAGAACGCACGAAAATTTGGATACATTGTGTGTGTGGGACAAACATACCGACCAACATGAAACCATGCCCGATTCCAACCCCACAGCCGATACCAGCGTCGAGAGTCTTGATTCCCAGCTTCGCTTTCTGTTGAAAAAGAGAGAGTTTTTAGCAAGAGAAGCCTAGGAAGAACAGAGTCATACGAACTGATTGAAGTAACGTCCAGATTTACCGAGAAGCCGGTTCAAGTCCTGGACTGGTATCCCAAATCTGGAGAGCGCCCCTGATGTGGCAGTAGCAATTCACAAGTGTGTCAGCCCAACGCGGCCCCTCAACTGCAAATATGACACTAAACAGTCAACACGATTCACTCCGACGCATAAATGAGAATGCAGCACTCAAGAAGAACTCTTGGAACATCTAGAACATGAGACTCCATTCCAAGTTTGTCAAAAGTGTTACCTAGTTGAATCGGCCTGCCAACGCCAATCCCGACGCCACATCCCACGCCAGCGCCTGTAGTGATCTGGGCGATTTTGAAAACGAAGGGGTTGCGAAGCTGGAGCTTGGGAAATGGTACTCGAGCCGGGGCTGGAGCTGGGCTGGGCGCTGTCGTCTCCGCCTGGACGACGCCTTCCATGGAGCTAAAGCCCTCGCAAAACCAGGGATCGCTGGTTCGAATCCTGATATTAACAAACACTATTGATGTGCCTAGCAATGGGCAACCTTGGAAATACCTGGTCGAGCTTTCAGGATAGTAGTATCCACGCAATGCACTCCTTCAGCAAGTCGAATCCATAGTAAGTCGCAATATTCAAGAATACGTGGCTTTTGGACATGAACTCGGCCGGCTTTTCTACGCACTCGAAGCTGCCACCGCAGGAGCATTGCTCGGTGATATGTGCGGCTTTTATCTGTGCATAAAGATGTGATTTTGATTAGAGACGAGGCCAGTATTGGTCATAGAGAATTCTACCTGGCGGCACTTCACGCACTTGAGGTCCTGCAGATGGTAAAGACGCTCTCTCTGCCGAACGATCTGGAGTAATGCATTCTCAATCCATTGGACGTTGTACATTTGTCCACATTGAGGAACTGTACAGTGCCAGTCCTTTTGAAGCAAGGCAGCATCCCGACACAAGTCGAGGTCTCGGCAGTCATTGCAGTAGCTGAATACAAAAGTTTTAATCAGAAAGCTCACCAAGGAAAAGTACCTGCAAATGACGTTCGGAAGGGTAAACGATAGACAAGGGTCGTGGAATTGAGCCTCGGGTGCAAACTCCCTCACATGAACCAGCCTAAGCAGGTTCTTTCTCATAACCTTCGAAGGAAAAAAGAACGTGAGCTCTATAAAGAAAAAGCACTAAAGAACATACAAACCTGAACAGAATGCTGCACGCGGTGATCAAGGGACATTGCAGCATAAATATACTTGATGAACTCGAGAGCTGCGTCACCCAGAGCTAAATGAGAGCCAGCTAGATTCGGGAACTTGAAGTCGTCCGCGTCTCTGGAAGCCGTGAAGTGCCGTTGAATATCTCTTACGATTCTCAACAGCTTGTCTGTAAAATATGACTCAATCTGCACAAATTTCAGATAGTGAAGGTCGTATCGAAATGCCAGACGAACCTGTTCTTTCAAAAATGATGTTTCCAGGGCGTCAGCGTCAGCAGCGGCGGCAACAGTCACAGATTGGGTTGATGAGAAGGAAAATGATCTCGCTGCAATAGTTTCTTGCGCGTGTTTCCATGGGAGATAGATAAACTCCGACACCACGACGATGAAAAACTCCTGAATAGCCTTCGGCAAATACTCGGCTATATTCCAGGATGAAACAATTTCAAATTCCTCAGAATTGTCTTCAGATGAAACTTTGGCTTGGATAGCGCCATAGTTGTACTGCACAGCAGATGTTACATGCAACAACAAGCAAGAAACCAATCATGATTTACCTGGTCCATGAATAAAATGGAATGCCAATAACGTTGAGGCTCAAGCTCAATCCACTCGAACATTTCTCTGCGAACAGAAGATTGTAGAAACGGAATCGCCGCGACTGGACACTAACCTGGTTTGCAGTGTTTTTAAAAGGTGATCACAGTAGTTTTTGGCAGCCTCAACGTTGTGTTTTCCTGTCCCGATTATGATTCGCGAAAAACTTCCATACACAATGGTAGCTCCAAGCTTTCGAAGTTCAGCCAGCAAAAGTGCATACACCTTCTGCATGACCTGCATTGATTATAGTTAGAATCTAAAATTTGCAGTTCCGAAGGAAAAAATTCACCTTATGTAAAAGCCGGTGCAATGATGGATCATGAAGCTTCGACAGTGGACTGCAGCATAAAGTTAGAATAAGCATAAGAACTGTCAACGGCCGAAGCACCTGCAAAGCCATCTGTACAAGTTCTGCAAAAGAACATCGGCGAAAACGTTTGCAGAGGACATGGCATCGACTAACCACCCAGATACCATCTGTTTTAGAAGACCGAAAGCAGGCGCACAAGAATTGGTTTCATCCCAGGAACCTCCCACTTGACGAAGATTGGAACCAGTTGCATCAAGCTCAAAGCCTAGCAACGCTCCTCCTTCCAGCTCATTTACTTGAGTGCTCTTTAAAAGAGCATTGACTGCCAGATGATTTATCTACATCAAGGAAGAGAACATGTTGTCCGAGATGAAATTGGAAGACGGAGTGTACCTTGAGCTCAATAGTAACACTTCTGTAAGCACCAGGATAGCACAAAGACGGTTGCTGAACCTGTTAAACAATCGCGTCAACACCAACAAGCCAATGGACTATTCTCGCACCACATCTGTAAAGCTTGGTTCGTCTTGTGGAACACCTCCAAGATCCGGTAAGCCATCATCAGATATCCACAAAACCTGCAGAAACATTAACTCAGGAACAAAAACGGATATGATAAGAGAAATACATGCTGATTGTCCTTCAGCACTCGTGCGTAAAATGCATCCGCAGTGAAAAGAATCCAGTCTGAGTCCAAATTGCCCAGCGGAACCTGAAATCATGTTTGTACACGATACACGAAATATAAAGACGTAAACTCACATGAGCGTATCGACAAAGTGCAATTCTTTCCGAAAGCCAGGATGGTGAGGCAGCACAACGCTGCATCGCTAATTTTGCAGCTACTGGTTGCCATCCAAGAAGCTGTCCACAAGCGACTCACGTATATTTAGAAATGCTTCAGAAAAAACATAATGCCCACCTTATAGTCACTGTGACGTGAATTCCAAGGAACTTGAACTCGAGGAACCTCCAAAATAGCCGGAACAAGAGCCATAATGTTTTCCATGGACGGACATTCTACAATCGCCACGGCAGGCCTCCGAAACTGGTCCCTGCAGATGTTTTTTTTTAAGGATGAATAACGGTATCCCAACGTACAAATAATCATGCAAAGTCCTTTGCAAACGCCTTCCAGCTTCAGCATATGTAGCCAAATATTCTATCTGCAGATTGAAAGCTTGTCAAAACAGTGCTGATCCTCAAAAACATACCTCGAAGTTAACGTCTGATGTATCTATGTTGAATTGTTCCATGACCGATGACTCTTGTGTCCGAAGTGCGTCGCGAAACTGCCTTTCTAACCAGTTTGTTGACACCTCCTTGTTGACTGACGGATTGACAATGATAACGAGAACTTTTGCGGCCAAAGGAGCATACAAGGCATAACAGCCACGGGGCTCAAATGCGCTGAAAAAAAACGATATGTCAGTTTAACAAGTTCATCAATAGCAATGTGTGCACCTGTGATATAAGTAGATAAAGGAGACGTCATCTGCCAGATAAGAGCACTCAGTAGTGGTCTTCATGTGCAATTCTTCTAGCGACCACCCTTCGTTTAAGCTCCGCTTTTGCGCTTTAACGTCAACAGAGCAAACACAGCCGAGTTGAAGAATGGCTTGAAGTATGAGAGGCAATCTAGTCTCGTAAACTCCCTGTTCACATCTCAAAACCTCACGAACTGCTTAGCAAACATTGAGCTTGTACCTCAACTTCTGGATCCGACAGATGAGCTACAACATCCTTTTTGGCCTGCTTGTACTGCTCTTCGTCCAAAATGACCTGTGCTCAAAAAAGGATTCAGATGATTAGCCACATAAAAGGGAAAAAAAAATTATCGTGCTATAACAGACCTCAATAAGATTAAAACAGGCTTTTCCGTGAGGTAGCACTCGGCTGACACGCTTTCCAGGATAATCTTCGGAAACTAAAGCACGCGTATTCAGGTAAAAAACTCGTGACACCTTTACGGGGACCTTGTACATGGAACTACCAGCCACTACCCAAGCAATGAAATCTCCAGGCTTTTCAGTGGCCTCAAACTGCAAAACCTGAAATGCGCATCCAAAATGCGTGGTTCAGAGAGTTAAATTTCAAATTTAGTACCTCCCAATGTGACCGTGTTAATGAAGCCTCTCGATTCTGAAAAAATGTATTCACACTATTTCCCTTTTTTGACCTGTTCAATCTGTTGTCTGTGTGTCGAGGTTCAGGACCTTGTCTAATGTAGCAGCATATATATTATTTCTCATCGATTAAGAACCATGTAAAGTAAAAAGAAAAAAATACCTGAGACGCTTTCGTTTCTCACGAACATCTTTCCACTTTCTTTTTCGTTTATCGAGCCATGCTCCATAATCATCTCCATCAGAGGTGCAGAGAGGTTCTGTATTCGCTGTTGCAGCAGTTTCAACTTCAGCATTGAGCCCTTTCGAAGAGCAAGTTTCCTTGCCACCACATATATCCTCCAAGTCACCAACCAAAGCCTCATTGTCAACATCTGCGTTTGTTATGGGCTTAAAAGCATCAAATATGCTTTTTTGCCGATATTTGTCATCCTTTTCACGAACTCTCTTCCACAACCAGTCTGGATGACTAACTCTAGGAACAGGATTGGCTACCTGCATTTACATTTTTAGACTAAGTTGCTGTGAGAAGTGATTATTTACCTTCTGCATCGCAGCAGGAATTGTGATAATCTTTTGTATAGTGGACGCTAACCGTTGTCTGTAGTATGACCAATCGACTATAGAGCGAAAATCTGCATCAGCGGACACCTTGCACCATTTTCTCAAGTATGCTCTCATAACCTCTGTAAAAGCGTTGTGTTAATAATCAAATAAACTTAGACACAGTTATACCAGCTTCAGTCTCAAATATAGCAACGGGTACTGCACGTTCGCTAACAGGTGAGCCCTGAAATTTTCAAATTTAAGTCGCCGAGGAGCAGAATCGAACTTCTTTACCTGAGGATCCCGGGCAACAATATAACGACAGCTCAGCCCCTTGTCCTTCACCATAGCTTCACCAAGAAAATCAGCTAGCCGCTTAGCCGTGGTGGTAGCACAGGATTTTTTATCGCCATAATCGGCGAGAGACTTGCTCATTGTACTTGACTCCGATATGTAGTCAAGAAGCTCACTATCAGCCACATCTGCTCCTTGATTCTATCATTATTTAGAGAAAAGAGTTAAGTTACTTAGATCAGTTCAAGTATAAAAATGAAACCACCTCTAACATATCCAGCCACCTGTCAGCAACGGCCGCTACAGCGTCATAACATTCTTCGAGCGTACTACCTTGAAGAAATTTCTCGAAAACTTCTGCCTGTAAAAAGCACAACTGAAATATACGCATGAACATGAGCTACAGCGTACCTGAAAAACCTTTATAAGTTTAAGTTCACCTCGCCGCTTTACTTCAAAGCCTTTTAGCTCGGCAAGTGTTCCGTCATCATTGAAGACCGCATAGCGCTTTTTAATAAGCACTCCCTCTTCTTTAGAGGCCGGGAGTATCATTGCCTAAAGAAGAAGTAAAGTTCAGCTTGCATAACTTAAACATGATTTACCTTATACGGTCCATCAACCTCAAATTCAATTGAGCATTCGCTACTTGTTCGGTAAGTACGTTCCGTAGCGTCTGCCAGTGTCTACATTTCAAAGTTAAGGAAGTCGTGAGAACACATGCGGATACCTGGTATTGATGGTTGGTGTTGTTTAACGCGACATCCACGTTAAGCATCACACATGGGTACGAAATCGGAAGTTTTTTATCTCTGATAGGAGGACTGTTAAGCGGCATAGAGATTTAGATACTCACTTTGTACGAAAAACAAAGTTTTCAGGAAAAGATGCTGGTAAAGCACACCAGATCCCGTCTGTATCCAGCTCCAACGGTTTTCCGATCTGTTCGACAAGTATCCGTGCATTTTGGATGATTTTTGCTCCTGTATATGTCACAATTCCTGCCATTTCCATAGAATACCACCTTGCTCCTCTGGACACACAAACAAGCAGAATCAACCACGTTAATAGATGAATGCATAAAGCTTACTTTCTCATGACGTAGCCGTAAAATGAGTTAAGAATACACTTGTGTGCAAGTTGCAGTGAATCATATAAAACCACCATATCCTGAAGTTCAAAAGATTAGTACGTGTAGAAGACAACAAGTTAACGCAACTTGAGCTTCTTGAATTTTGATAGAATTCCCGCTTGACTTCGCCTCCGTCAATTTTCCCTTCCACACCTTATTAAGGGTTTTGTACTCGTATCTTCGGTCTCGAAAACTTACCAAAAGAAAAAAAAAACAAACAAACAAACAAAAAAATTAAATTGAGAAAAATCCAAAAGACAATATCTTCTACCTCCGAACTGTATCCACATAAAAGGAATTTTCGCGCATGCACACTCCCGCTACCCGCTGTTCTGTTGTCGGTTTATCAAGTACTCGCTTATAAACCTGGGCAAAGCACATGTGACCCAAGGCATATAGAGGTGAATGCATACCTTTTGACAGTACTTCTTCAATCTGTCCCGCAGCTTAGATTGCTGCTCGTCTTTTGACAGATCACGAAAATACTGTGAAGGCTTCCCTTCTCCTGCTGTAAACATTTCGGACTCAATTTGGTTTTTCAGATGATAGTATTCACTTGAGAAGAAGTGTTAGACGTTAATCAAAATTGAAGAGACAAACTACCTTCTCTTGGTCATAAAGGATTCGCCTCTCCAAACCCATTGCATAGGACGCAAACACGTTTTTTCGGCTCGATTAAAATCGCAGGCCGCGCATGTTTCATCAGTCACAATTGAAGGCGGCTGTGGATAAACAACACGGGACACTGAGAACACTGAGAACAGAGACGAAATTTAATACTGACCTGAAGGCGATTAGTCAGTATAATATTAGGATACATGGCCGCCACGTCCAAGTGATATATTACAGGCTGCTCTTCCCTGTTGGGTACATCCCGTAGATTTTCAAGCTGCAAAAATGCAGACAATATAAACTGCCAAAGAAAGGAATACGCACCATTGACTTTATTTCTTTCTTAACTTCGTCGTAGTTGGTCACTTCCTGAGCATTCATCTTCCCTTCTTTCTCTATGGCATACAAAAGGTCGCGATCCAGGTTGTCTACCAGCTTCTGTACCACAAAGATTAGCAACATGTTCACGACAAAGAAAGTAAAACTACTGACTTGGTATGCCTCGGGCACGAGTCGAAATCTAGTAGGAAGATCCGAACGAAAAACACCACTCTCAAGGCATTCAACATGGCCTCCAATGTATGTCTCGCTATCCAGAAGTCTACCACTGTAAAACCGTTCCGGTTCTGACTTGTGTTTGTTCGGGCAGATAATGTTTCCTTTAAATGCCTGAGGAAAAAAGTTTAAACTAAATATTTGACGCTGTACTCAATGCTCATACCTGAACCATAAGAAGCATTTCACACAAAGTTCCACTACCCTTTCGTAACACTTCGTCCGGAGACATAGGTATGATAGTGGCAAGAGAGAAGATAAACGGATTAACGTATGTCATGTAAAGATAATACGTGGCGACGGCGTCTGAGACGGAATAAGCTGCCATTTTCTGCAACAGAGATCAGATCGTTTCTTTTGCACAAGTACAATGTACGCACCTGAGGTTGTTCGCTAGCGAAACGAACCATGTCTTCTGGATTGACTTCCAGAGGATCATATCCAAGCTTCGCCTTCGTCACAGCCTGAAAGCAGAGAACATAAGAAAGTGATAGTTATAAAGAAATTTAGAAGACCTTAAGACCTTGGCTGCCCTGTGGAAGGTAGCTGTCACGTTTAACCCAAGCGAAGCAATCTAAGTGACAAGCGAATTTACTTAAACACTCTCCCTGCGCTGAATCACAGGAAAAGCCGAGTTTCTGCAAGAAAACATGTCAGGAAATTTAAAAGTTTTTTGCAAACATACGTCGCGCATGCTTAATCCATGATGTTTGGCCCGCTCTTCAATAAAAGGCCAGTCAAAGAAGTCTCCGTTGTAGGTAACAAAGATGTTCGGTTTAATTTCACGCATATGGTCGAACCACCACTCTAGAAGTTCTTTCTGCAACAGAAAGAAGTTGTGAGTCAAGTGCACGTCTAATAATCAAAATACATACCTCCGAGGCTGCATTTCGAACCTTAAAATGTCCTTCAAACTCTGGCTTAGGAGTATATTCAATGTCGTCTATGTCTTCACTTACACACTGCCAAAAAATGTTCAGAAGACGGCATCATGAGCAACATAGCAAGTTACCTCTCTGTTGATAATCAGATAACCCTGGCTATCGACCATATACGATATCATCATCACACTATCATAAGATGCATCTGGAAACTTCAACGGAAGTTTGGTTGCTTCAATATCAAAAGCACATACGCGAGCCTCTGCTCGCTGAAGGAGATCGGGCCGTTTTTCCAACTTTGTCCTTGCTGCGTCTACGGTTACGACGTACCATTCTCCACATCTGACATCTGGGCAGGTTTCAATAAAGAAACGAGATAATAAACTTTACCATTGTCTATTGCGAAGCGGACATGATACGGAACATCAAACTCGCGTATATCTACAATGCATTCATTGTAGTCATAAACTTTCGATTTGTTTTGCTTCTCTGTGCTGCAAAGCATCCCACGTTAAATAGCAAAGAATTCTCCCGCAGCAATTCAAAAAATATCAGGCAGCATACCTTAGCCCGTAAAGTACAGATTCATAAGCTTCGACCGCCTCCAGCTTCGCTTGATTGCGAGCCACGATTGGCATCAGGTCGCTTTTCACTTGCATGAGATCTTGGACTGTGTTGAAGCTGATTTTAATAAATCGCTTGCGCAGTCCAGAAAGGTGATTTTTCTGTAGCGAACGTGCAACATACGTGAAATATTTCCTTAGCAAGTTGAAACTTTTACCAGGTCAAGATCTTCCTTTTCGACTATTTTCGTGTTTGAGATGAGTCCCTCAAAGCGCCTCCGAATATACGACTCTAGTTCAAGTTCCATACCAATCTGGCAAAACAAAACGAGCTGTAAGCGAAGTATTAAAGGACATATATGAGCTTACCTTCGCTCCTATGTAGAAATATGGAGCAAACTTCACACGGGTTTTAAAACCCGACCCATCCTGCATACGAATAAATTGCAGCGAAAACTAATCCAAGGCGAGAAAGAAAAAGAAACGAACAGGGAAGAATCCTGACCTGGCACAGAAAGCACAGATTTACACAGCTGAAAGTCTGATTGCCACATTCCTCGTCCTGGAATGACGACTGAAGAAGAAAAACCCAAAATTCAGCCGAGCCAACTAAGCAAAACGCTGCATTACCGGCGACATATTGAGAAGCCATCCAAGCTTTGGATCTCCTTCCGTGAACAATCCAAACCCAAACTTCTCCTCCAGATCATCGTCATTTCCTCGAAAAACCCTAGATCTGCGACCGCCCCGACCGCCTCTGCCCTTACCTCTGCTGCCCCTTTCGCCATCGCGAGAGCTCTCAGGGCCCCGTCCCCGCGCCCCATGCCACATTCCGGGCCTGCGCCCTCGAGACGCCATAGCTCGGCGCAAAGAAGAATGCGCGGGAAAAATATAAAGGGTTTAGGGCTCTAGCTAAATCTTTAACACGTGGCACTAATTAACAGTTAAGCTGCTTTGGCCGAGTGGTTAAGGCGTGTGCCTGCTAAGTACATGGGATTTTCCCGCGAGAGTTCGAATCTCTCAGGCAACGTCCTTTTTTCATACTTACTATTTATTTGTAAAGGTTTTCCAGATGACTATTTTTCAAGTATTTTCCTAGGGCAACTCATCGTTTCCAGATGGTGTTGCAAGCACAATGGGTTCTTCCTCGAGATTGCGACGCTGCCATGGTAAGGAGGAGCTCAGGTAGCTAGATTCAAGCTTAATTTCGGTGGATCTCCAGGAAACGCTAGCACAGACTCTACTAGATCACGGCCAGGAGCATCTTTTCGAGGGTTGGCCAGAGCCGGGAATCGGCGACGATGACAAAGCGAGATTTTTCAATCAGGTACCACATTGGATGATTGAATCGACGTGGTTTGATTTATCTTTCTACTGAATTGTAGGTGAAGAAGCTAGACGCGAACTATCCAGGCGGATTAGTGGCATACATTGACAATGCTCGAAAGCTACTGGCGGATTCTAAAGCCGGTAGAAATCCTTTCGATGGCTATGTCCCATCGGTAAGAAAGTTTTCCTTTAATTTCCTTTCTCTCGTCTCGGTGTTGATGGAGAATTCTTATGTTGTCATAAGGTTCCTTCTGGCGAGCGTCTTTACTATGGAGACGAACGCTTTGTTCGTTTCGAAGAGGCCGGTGTTAAGGCAGCGTCTAACGCAGCGTTCGTGTTAGTTGCCGGTGGACTTGGTGAGCGTCTAGGCTATACTGGAATCAAGGTACAGTGGAAAAATAAAAAATACAAAGGAAAAATGCAAGAAAATAAAAAAGAAGTTGGATTTCTGATTGTATTTTCCCTGCAGGTAGCATTACCTTCCGAAACAACTACAGGAACCTGCTTTTTGGAACTCTACATCAAGAACATTTTGGCGCTACAGGAATTTTCCTCCGCTACACGTACGTGATTTCCTAACTTTCGGGACCATTTGAGCTGTTGCTTTTCCTTCAGGTCCAATTCCCTTTGTAATTATGACATCCGACGACACTCACGCAATGACTGAAAAGCTTCTCAAGGAAAACAATTTCTTTGGAATGGATCCAAGCCAAGTAACTCTTCTGAAACAGGTAGAAGCACGTCTAGAGACGTAGCATCTTCAAACTCATGCTTCCTTTCGCAGGAGAAAGTCGCGTGCTTGGCTGATAATTTTGCTAGATTAGCTCGGAATCCTTCTGACAAGTATTCTATCCAAGTACGCCACGACTCTAGCTCCTTTTCTTCGAAAACGCGCTAAAGCTTTGTTTTTTTTCTGTAGACGAAGCCGCACGGCCACGGAGACGTACATGCTGTTCTTTACTCAAGCGGCATTCTTTCCAGATGGTAAGTAAAGGTCTGTCTCATAGTGCGTGACTTGAAAAAATCTTCTTGGAAGGAAACTGTCCGGAGTCAAGTGGCTTATATTTTTCCAGGACACAAACGGACTGCTGTTCAAGGTAACTCTCTTTGTTTTTATTCGACAAAGCGGCTCAATCTTCAGATGACATAGGCAATACCTGCGTCATTAGGCGTCAGTGTTACAAATGACCTGGACGTAAATTCTTTGGCTGTTCCACGTAAGGCAAAAGAGCCGATCGGAGGAATAGCTCGGCTGACACACACAAACGGTTTGAAAATTGCTGGTTTACAATCTGTTCGTGCTGACCGTGGAACAGGATCTGAAATGGTCATCAATGTCGAGTACAATCAACTTGATCCTTTGCTACGTAATACCGGATACGAAGACGGAGACGTAAATGACGAGACTGGATACTCTCCATATCCAGGAAACATCAACCAGGTAACTTTTACGTCGTCGAGGAATTTCCAGCCGATCTAATCACGCACATAACAGCTCGTGTTAAAGCTCGACTCTTATTTGGAGGAGCTCACCAAGACAAACGGCGCCATCGTTGAGTTTGTCAATCCAAAGTACGTTCATGCATTTAGTGCAGGATTTTGTTTCGTGCTCAAACAGATCTCCGAAACAACAGATACAAAGATGCGGGCAGGGAAGAATTTAAATCCTCTACGAGGCTCGAGTGCATGATGCAAGACTATCCAAGAACATTGTCGCCTTCGGCAAAAGTTGGCTTCACGGTAACTTTTGTCACCTCTTTTGTATTTCGTCTACACTACTTTCTCGTCTACAGGTTATGGATACATGGCTGGCATATGCACCCGTGAAGAACAACCCGGAGGATGCTGCAAAGGTATCCATTTTTTTCAATTTGTTTACAGGGATTTAGATTTGTAAGACTCGCAGGTTCCGGAAGGAAATCCTAGACACAGTGCAACGACTGGCGAAATGGCAATCTACAAAGCCAACAGCCTCATCTTGAAGAAGGTCTTTGATTCTTTCTTTCCTCTAGTTTTTCTATATCTCCAATGTTTACTCCTCAGGCTGGCGTGAAGATTGGGAGCCCCACAATCGAGACTTTCAACGGGCAAGAGGTGGAGGTGTGGCCGCGAGTGGTGTGGAGTCCGAGCTGGGGGCTTACGTCCTCGGACGTGAAAAGAAAGATCTCTGGTTCTTGCGAGATCACGCAAAGATCCACTCTAGTCATTCGAGGCGCGAATGTGTCGTTCAAGGACCTCTACCTGGACGGTGCTCTTGTCATTGACGCGAGCAAGCACTCTGAGGTATGTTAACTCTCGTGAAAACTTGATTTATTACTCGTTTTTTCTTTGGCTTCTTGTGCCAGGTCGAGATCCACTCGATCAGAGTTGTCAACGATGGCTGGGAGTTTCAAAAGGTGGGCTCCAAAGACGTGTCAGTGCCTGAGCAATATAGAATCCGGGGATTTATTACTAAGCAACTGGACCACAAGGAGCTGGAATTCGATCTTCCAGGGAGCTATTTAATCGCATGCGATGACACGGATGAGCTAAGCGGGCGAAGAGGCGAAGAGGCGAACGCCTTCGCTTAGAAAACGAGAAATAAAAGCTTAATTATCTGCGCGCTTTGTACATAGCAAGTCGACGGTGCGTATTCGTGGTTCGATCATTCCTGCCAGAAAAATAATCCCAATTATGGCAACAAAAGAAAACAATTTAAGCTTACAGCAAGTAGACAGGATTTTTCCATGATCTCGTTGGTTCCCGGGTTGACAACGATATCGCAACTAAGTTTCGCCTACAAGGAAGAACATCATTTAGGAAAAAAAAGCAAGATTTTTTACCTCTAAGTGAGGGTGGACGAGCAAAAACTCCAAATTCCCGGAAAAGTTCATGTCCGTCTCTAGAGGCAATCTCCCCCTGGCGATATCCAAGAGTAAACTCCCAGCATTCACAAACACTCGCATGCCTTTGAGATCCATCACCCCGTCCACGGTGACAACTTTCAGCGCTGGGATCTCGCCGCCTTCCAAGACCACCCGGCCGAGCTTATCGCCCCGGTACCCGAGCTCCACCACAATCCTGTCGTAGCGCACACCAAAGTAATTGGGATTCCTCACAAGCAATTGGACTTGAAACTTCAAATCCAAATCCAGCCCCAAATCGTTGGACCGCTGCTGCTGCTCAACGATCGCCCTCTTGAGGCTGTCCCAAGACATGCTCACAAGCTCCGTCTTCTGCACCTCGATCTTCACATCGCTCGGCCACAGCATAAACGCCGTGAAGCCCAACACGAGAATTATCGGATACAAGACTGTGAAGCACTGGAAAGCGCAGCTCTTCGTCTTACTGGACTCGAGAACCGGAGGGCGACCATCCAGCGGCGCGTAGTAGTGATGGTGCACGACCGGGTAGCCGATCGCCTCGCCTCTGCCCTCCTCCTTCGTCATAGCGCCCATAAACCCTAGAATTCCCTGAAGAGCCCTAATTTCCCAGCAAGCCCTAAAGCTGTTTAATAGCTCCCTTTTCAAAAATTTAAAACTTTTACCCGCGCTTTCCGCCTGGATAACTTCGGAGTGGATAGATTTACCATCACTCGACTTATAACACTCATGTGGGGATTCGGGAATGATGGAAGAAAAAGCCCGGCCAAGGCGAACGAGAAAGCGATGGCGACTGGAATGGATTGGATTGGATTGGATTGGCGAAAACGAGAAGGAAAAAGAAAGACATTTTTATCGTGGGAGGATTGATGGATGGAAAAGGCTGGCCTCGCCTGGCGCCTGGAATTCGGCTGGACCGCGGCTGGCTGGCACATTTAACTTACAATGTTGGCGTCGTCTCGTCGTGTAATCTAGGAACCCAAGATTGTCACGAAAAGACCCACCATGTTATAAACAGAATGAGGAAAATGCGCGCCAAGGGAATCGAACCGGGCACGCCATCCCCGCAACCATGTACGGGGCATTTTCAAACCGCATGGCAATCGCGTGCCGCCACGTGGTGAGGTGAAACCTTCTTCACCACGGATGTATTTACGGCGGAGCGGTAAACCCTAGGCTCCCCAGCCGTGCCGTTCGATGCCGGGATCGTGGGGCTCGTACGCCGGCACGTGGACAGCAGGTGGTATTTATCCTGCCGTTTGTGGAAATGGTATTCGCGTTTAAATATGATGGAATTTCCACAATTAGGCGGCACAGTAAAGCTCTCGGTACTTCGCCAAAACCCCCCTTTTTAAGCTTTTTTTTTCTCTCTTTTTATTCCTCTCTCCTCCTTCGCATCTTCCTCTTCGCTTCCCTCTCGAAGCGTGAAGGAAGATCACTGGTGTGCTGTCCGTAGGCGCCCTAGAAAATCTTGTGGCGCTAGTGGGAGGGAGGATCAAAGCCGCGGCCCTAGGCGCTCAAGATCGAGCGCGCCCTTAACGGATCGCTCGATCGTCGCGGCGTAGCTATAGATCTCTTTCTTGCGAATCGGGGGAATCAATCGAGGAAATATCATGGCCGCGGGAGATTGCTGCGTTCCTCCGGCGTCGCATTTCTTCGACAACAGCGCGGAGAGCCTGGGCGTGCGAGCCTACACCAACGGCGCGCAAGGCGCTACCGAGGCGGTGATCTTGGTGTCGGATATATTCGGTACGCAAATTTCTTGCTTTCCTCCCCTCCAATTCTCTCCCGCAGCTCCACCAATTCTACCGCCAGCAAGAATGCTGGTGATCCATTGCATTGCCATTCACTGTTCGCGTGTAGCATCGCTCTCGCCACTTGAAATTTTCCTTCGCACAATCGCTTTGATCGAGTCCCTGTTCTTCTTTTAGCTTTCTTTTCATTTCTTGTGCTTCGAGAGGCTAATATTTGCTCTCTTGCTAGGATGGAGCAGTCCACTGTTGAGGTGGGTTTTGCACTGCTCTCACGCGCCAATCTTTCATGCTCTCGAGCTTTGGAAAATTCACTGAGCTTTTTTGTTTCTGGGATACAGGAAACTAGCGGACAAGGTTGCTGCTGCTGGCTACCTGGTTGTAGTTCCAGACCTTTTAAACAATGATCCATTCAAGCCTGCCGAGAGTGGAAGTCCCTATGCAACATTCCCCGCGTGGATCAAGAACCATGAACCGGTAACTTTTAAGTTTTCGTATGAAACTCTCATCTGTTTCTTATCGGAGCTTTCCCTCTGCCTTCTGCAGCCAAAGTCCATACAACAGTGCAAGAAGATTGTGGCACTGCTAAAGTCGAAAGGTATCACTTCGATTGGAATCGCTGGCTTCTGCTGGGGCGGTAAGTTAAATCGAAATGTTTCCCATCAATTTATTTTGGCAGTGGAGTAGCAGTACCGAGCACTAATATCTCTTCTATGAGTTTGCAGCTAAAGTAGCAGCCTTGATGGGAAGGGAGGACAGTGTGCGGGCAGTCGTGCTGCTGCATCCCTCCTTTGTGACGGTAGACGATATGCGAGGTGCGACAAAGCTTTTGATTTTCGTCTCGCTGTTCGGGCGTGTAGATTCACCCAAGCTTTTCGTGCAGAGATTCGTGCGCCCGTGGCGATCCTCGCTGCGGAAGTAGATCAGCGAACACCCGCCGCGGTGATCGAGGAATCGCGTGCAATCCTTGCGAGCCGTGCTGAGGTTCGCTTTGACAATTCGCCTTTTTGCGTTCTTCGCTTGCTTGCGTTTGTCGTGTTTTCAAGGTTGTGTGCGTCATTGCCGCTGCTCTGTGGTGCTTGGAGCCAACGTAACCGGAGTGGAAGCTTTTGGTTTTGCTAACACCTTTTGCCTTCTCTCAGGTGGAGAGCTTTATCAAATTCTTTCCGGGAGCTTCTCACGGCTGGACTGTGAGGTACGATGTGACCAACTCGAGGGCCGTGGCCCAGGCCGAGGAAGCCCACCAGGACATGCTAAGCTGGTTCTGGAGATTCCTCAAATGAGAGGAAAAGTGGGAGAGCTTCTATAAAAGAGAGCGAGGAAAGGGACAAAGGAAATTCGTTTTGGTTCGTTCGTTTTCACAGGACAGGGAAGACAGCGAAAGCAGTTTTGTTCGCCCAGCAAAAGTTTTACTTGTTAGTGGTAGTGTTCTTTCTTAAAAAGAGTGGAATATTCCCCGCGCGGGGTTTTAGGGTTCTTGAGTTTTTTGGTGGCGCCATCGCCATGGCAGGGTTGCTCATGCGCATTCACTGCGCGGCAGCTCCCCCGGCGATCGCCACGGGGTATCTCAAGTGCGGCGGCAGCAGCTCCCGGCGCGTCAGGCGGATGGCCCGGCTCGCATCTACCAGCGCGGCAGCCCAGGGCATGGCGGAGATTTCAAGTAAGTCGTTTTCCAGGGAGCGCAGATTTCGTAGATTATATGCTTAGATCGCGTGCGTGCTCGCCATAGCCGTGCCGCTTCCGCATTGGCAGCAATTCTTGACCCTGATTAGAGATCAGAGGCAGCATGCGAAGAGATCTCCTCTTTTTTTTTTTTTTGGATTCTTTGCATCGTTCTCCTCTCTTTCTTTTTCTTTCCGAGAAGGAATCAAATGCTTGTAAAATGTGTGTTTGTTTGTGTAGAGAAGGAAAAGGAGGCCGTTGTGACAGAGCGAGCTCCAGCTGCTCTTGGACCTTACTCACAAGCAATCAAGGCCAACAATCTCGTGTTCGTGTCAGGTGTACTGGGGCTCATTCCCGAGGTATGCTCAGCTTTTCCAAAGCTTTTTCCTTTGTTTTTTTCCACTCCTCTACTGATGAAGCATGAATGTCATCGATTGAAGAAAGGAAGAGTGGCTTGTCAGTTGAAAGGTGAATGATTGATTGAGCAAGCAATGCAGTGCTTTGTTTCATGGGATTCCATTGTTTTGTTTCATGGGATCGCATTGCATTGCATGTAAATTGCCCTCTTTTCGTTTTCCTGTGCTTCTGCTTTCCATGCTCGCTCTCTAAGTACGTTCGTGTCACGTCATGAGTCGGGAACTTTCACTTCATTAACCAGCGATCTCGCCTCCCTTTACAGACTGGAAAATTTGTTTCTGACAGTGTCGAAGGACAGACCGAACAGGTAGGGTGTGTTATTGTGTTGTAGTTTTCGGGCAGGGCGTTTTGATTCCTCTATCGTTTCTCCTTTCTTTTCTGTGCAGGTACTCAAGAACATGGGTGAGATTCTGAAAGCTGCCGGTGTTAGCTACAAGTCTGTGGTGAAGACAACTATCATGTAAGGGTGTCCTCTCTCTTCCGATCGATGCTTGGCTTCACATTTCCCTGTCGCTATGCCATTTATCCATCGCTGTTTCTGCTTTGGTTGTGTGTCATTCATCAGCTGGCTAGCTAGACGCTTTCTGATGTCAACTTTCGAATTCCTAGGCTGGCTGATCTTGCGGACTTCAAGGCAGTGAATGAGATTTATGCCAGATGTAAGTGAGCTCCTTTTCCCTCTTGCTTTACTTTGCTCTCTTGGCTTCCTCCAGGGGGGAATTAATTCCAGTGAGATACCGTGCGGCTTGTGCAGATTTTCCAGCTCCAGCTCCTGCACGATCCACGTATCAAGTAGCTGCCTTGCCTTTAAATGCCCGTATTGAAATCGAGTGCATCGCTGCGCTGTGATGTCGCTGGCAACCGGACCGAGTTTAAGACAAAGGTTAGTCGACGATTTCATTTGGAAAACGAGATTATAATGTTTGATCAACAGAATTGCGTAGGGAAGAACCGGAACAACAAACGTTCGATGCCAAAGTAGAAAATGTAGAGAAGAAAAGCTCTTCAACGCTTACAAATCGAGGAGAGAGACATAAAAGACGATCCAATAATGATTGAGAGACCAAGGTGAGCATATTCTATTGATTCGTTGGAATGCCTCTCGTTGGCATTTGCAGTGCTAAGTATTGGCACTTTACACAAGCACTCCAAATTCAAACATTATGTTTGAAGGCAAATGTAGCCCTAGGCCTAGAAATTTTATTTGTCACGTGGCATCTCGTGTTCGTTGTGGAAAATCACGCTATGGCGGCGGAGGCGCTGTGCCCTCGCCTGGCGTTTCTTCAAATCCAGCGCCGGGCGCTCTCCGATCAAAGGTATGCTCGATCTAGTTCATAGCGTTTCAGAATTTCTCAACTGGTAGGCGCTTGGATCGATCCAGAATCAGGTTAACACGAAGGGGTGGAAGAATGTGGACTCTCTGTAAGCGCGCTTCGATTTCTGCCCAGCGATTCGTGGTGTCCGCCTCTCATGTAAGCTATGTTTCTAGAGATTAGAGAGGAAATGCATTGGTGGTTTTAATTCACATTTGGTTCCAAGCTAAGCAGTCTTCCGAGGAAGAAGGAAAGGAGGAAACCTCGAAGAAAGCTGATGATTATAGTGCAGTGTTCCAGAAGATAACACAGTCTGGTATGAAGCCTTGTTTTTTTCTCTGGTGCTTTTTTCTGATCGAAGAACGAACTTTTGTTATTCTTTCAGACTTGACTTATAGGCATGAGCTGGGGATGAATTACAATCGTGTTCTCCCGAATCTCATCGTTGGTTCCTGCTTACAGGTTCTCTTTTTCTTTCTTTTTTCTTCTCGAGTTGCCAATAGCAACAATTTTCCAGAATCCTGCAGATGTCGATCGCCTAAAGAAAGACGAGAATGTTACCACGGTGTGCAACCTCCAGCAAGATCCTGATATGGCGTAGGCTCTGTTTTCTTTGTCTCTGCTAAGTCTTCTAGCGTCCTCACGGATGTATTATGCAGGTACTTCAACGTCGACATCTCTGAAATCCGTGATCATGCGAAGGAAGTTGGCGATTTTAATCATCTTCGACTGCCAATTCGGTAAAGCTGACTTGAGAAATTTTGTAAGCAGTTTTCTCATGGTTTTATTCTTGCAGGGACATGGATGGCTTTGCTCTTAGAATGCGGCTCCCGAGTGTCATTGCTAGCTTGTATCAGGAGCTCAAAGACCGCGAAGGAACACTCTATGTCCATTGCACAGCTGGATTGGGAAGAGCTCCTGCTGTTGCTGTAAGCTCATTTTTTAGCGTTTAAACGTTTTCATTTGTTTGCTGTGCGCAGCTTGGCTACATGTTTTGGGTACTCGGCTACGATTTGCATGAAGCGTACCTTCTACTCCAGGTAGGCAATAGTGTTTCTACCAGCTTACCCTTTCTTTGCAGTCGAAGCGGAAGTGTGTGCCAAGCATGGAGAACATACGTGCAGCGACTTGTGATCTGGTACTGTAAGCTCTTTCGGCTTTGTTTCTTAAAACTTAATCGCCTGGCAGGAAATCTGTCGATCAGCTCACAGGAATGACCAGAAGTCCCATTGGATTGCTCTACAGGAGAGGTACCTGCGAGCATGTTGAAGTTGCTGGTCTAGACATTGGCTGGCATTCTGTAAGTACTCAAGTTGAACCTGCGTCTGAGGCCTTCTGTTTTTTTTCTTTCTTTTTTTCAGCGCCTGCCATTCAATTTCATATCGAGAGATGGTCACTGGACGTTAGAACACGAACTTCCTGTAGGCTTCTGCGCTATACGTACTTTTCTTGGCTCACTGAGCGAACTTCCGATTCAAACAGGTTGGAAGATACGAGTACAAGTATGTGATTGATAAAGAGCGATGGACTTACAATCCTCACGCTCCTATAACGAACCCAGACAGAAAAGGCAACTACAACAACTACATTGAGGTATGCTATGATCAATCCCTTCGCCCGATCACAAACTAAATCGTGTATCTGTTCCAGGTTGTAGACTCCGATCCCGAGAACTGGGAACTCCGGCAATATTGGAGGAAAGAAGACGCGAAGCTGACCGACGAGCAGCGGAGCGTGATCCTGGAGAAGCTCGAAGCCATGGGAAGCGAGCTCTGATACCACTAAACTCCGGCTATTTGTATGAAGGTATTCTTATCAATTGCAAACAGATGTGGGACTGATGTTTATGAAGAGACTCCAAGGCTGGACGCACATCTGGGTGGATTGGTGTTGTTGGCCTCTTTGCTCCACTTGCTTCCATAGTTCCCAAGGCTGGATTTGCTTCTCGAGGTAGAGCCGCCGCTCTTTCTAGCTCTTGGAGCAACTGAAGAGACAGAACAGGATCAACCCAACCCAACGAAGAAGAAGATCAAGATCTCTACAAGATCACGAAGGAGAGAACCTGCAACATCGTCAATCCTGGGATCCGTGACGGAAGTCTTGGCGTGTCCGAACCAAGGCGGTGGATCCGACTTCATGGCGTGAGACGGCGGATGGATCTTCAAGGGGGCCGTGATATCGGTGTGGGGGACCGCGTAGAAAGGATTCACGTCCTCCTTGGGCACCGAAGGCACCGGCTTGGCGAAAACTATCCTGGTGAGCGAGCACATCCTCCGGTGGTGGCACGGTGGTGGCACGTCCTTGAGCTGTGGGCTCTGGGAGTGACTGGGGACCGCTCGATCCAGGCACTTGGTGATGTTGGTAACCAGGCCATGGTAGCTCTGCTGGTACCGCCGGTTGAGGGCGTCTTGCTTCCTCGAGGTTCTTCGTCTCGCGGGTGCTGGATCGAAGGGGATTGGCGGGCGACCAGCCTTGCGATTGAGAGGCGGTAGCTTTGGAGCCGGCATTGGCCCCTGCCGTTAAGCCGCGCTCTTGTAACTGTAAGGTTTTCACGTGACAGGGAATATGCTACTAGGATCTTTTGCATGGCAATTAGAAATGATCACGTAGTAGGCTGGCTGGTCGACTCTTAGTTTCTCCTCTTCAATGTCTAATATATCAAAGATGCATCCCTTGCCTTCCAGAATCGCTTGTTTCCAACATTGAGCTTTTACTATAGAGGGCTCAAAACATTCTAGAATATTTACGGCCAGGACCTAGGAGAGCGGCAGCAGAATTCAGACCCTGTAGTGGAGGTTAAAACGCCAGTTGGTTGGTCACGAAGGATTGTGGTCAATAATTTATATAGTCAATCTTTGATCAGCCAATGCAATCTTATACTCAGTTTCTTATCATGATGTGTGTTAGTTTCTTATGACCTGTTTGATATATCAAGGTGATATGTTTTTTTGGAGTGGTTTGCCTGATAATTACCATACTTTAAAAGAGCTGGCGGGCCAACTACCTGGGCAATGGTGGCCAGGGTTGGGTGTGCCAATGATCCTTTGTGTGATAGGGTTGGGATTCCAATTACAAACTTCACTACGTTTTTTCCATTGCCTGAAAACTTATTGGCAAATCTCACCATCAATCTTTTCTGTGTTCAGTATAAACTTTTAAATATGTGGTAATCTTTTGTTATAATTTAAGATTGTTAGTACAGGTTATTTGGGCGGAATGAATATCGGCCAGCTCAAAGAGCTCTTGGTCTCGGGTCCAAAGGCTTTAGCAAGTCGAGGTTTAATGGCAAGTGGTTTACATGTGAAAAGAGACGCTCATGATGCTATGCACAATAAGCCAAATGATGTGGTCAGCATTATGTATAGAAATATATATGGTTTTTTTAACTCTAGCACCCCAATACATTCTTTCATGTAGTTTTCTCACATAATATATTATAATTCATACACTTCTCTTTTTGGTTTGCTTAGCAAACCTCTAGAGGTAGTGAATATACTTAAATATGCTTAAATATTTTAAAATATTCTATCACCTAATGGTTATTATACATTTTAATTAATTTCATGTTTATAATTTATAAGCATATTTATCATTTAAACTTTCCTAACACTTCATAATATATTCTCGTTTAGTCTACCATCTAACTATTGCCCTTTATGATATCCTAGGTTACACTTAGGTTACACGTCAAATGGAGAACATAGGGGTTGGGGTAATGGATGGTCTCTATTGGCATGGTATGGGGATTGGACTCGGGTTTGGAATATGTGGCTTCTGTATTGGCATTGGTCTTGCTTGCATTGGCTATGCCATTGAAAAATTTGCTGACAACATGGGTAAAGTTGGTGACTCTATGAGAAAGACGAAGTGGAGTTTGCTGGAAATCATTGTAATTCTCATTAAATTTACATCTATAAAACTGCTCCAAAGGAACAAATTTAGAGGTCATCTTTTAGGGCTTATAAAGCCAGGTAGAATGCGGGTATGAAGCTGGCAACAGTAGCAATGGCGAATACGAGGCGCGAGAATTTCTCATCTTCTCGAGGCGCCGGCATTGCGCCACCGCCATCCTCCTGCCGGCAACGATTGATCAAGGGGTATCCACAAAGGTTGTTGTTTGATCCGAAACTCGAAGGGTCAAATCTGGTGTTAAATCCATTCCCGCCTGGAATGCGTCCTTGCAGATGGTTCCCGCTGGCATTGAAGCCCCCCAGGAATCCTAGCTGGGTGAGCGACCAGGGAATCTCTCCTTGCAGGCGGTTGCTCGAGAGGTCCAGAGATTCCAGGTTTTGGAGCTGACCAAGCTCGCCAGGGATGCTACCGCTGAATCTATTGAAGGATAGGTTCAAGTTCCTGAGGCCGGCGAGCTTTCCAAGCTCCGAGGGAATGGTGCCAGTGAGATTGTTGGAGGAGACATCTATGGAGGTGGTGGAGGAGTAGATGTCACCAACAATCCTGAACTTTCCTTTCCAATTGAGGAGAATGGAATAGCCCTCCATCTGTTGGAAAAACTCTCGGCTGCTCTCGAAGGCCTGCCTCCAGTCAAAATACACACTGTTGCCAAAGTGTTGGATCCACTGGGTGAAGATTTCCTTCCAGTCCAGGATTCTGGGAAAGAAGAGCACAGTGTTCCTGTTTCCCGAGACGTCTTGTAGGCCGCGCAGTCCCTCCAGCCTTTCGGGAAGCGGTCCTTGCAAGTTGTTGTGCGAGAGGTCGAGGATTTGCAGCGAGGACAAATTTCCGAAGCACCGTGGAATGGAGCCTTGGAGATGGTTCCAGGCGAGGCTGAGTACGTGCATGTTGAGAAAGCCGCACAGTGGAGCCGGCAAAGTCCCCGTGAGATGGTTCCGGCTCAGATCCAGGAACACGAGATGGCTTCTGCTGGTGGTGATCATGCCGAGATCGACATTGCCACTTAAGTTGTTCCTGGAGAGATCAAGCATAACCACTGTGGTGAAGTAGCTTGGTGGAATGGAGCCCGAGAAGTTGTTACTACCAGCCGAGATGGTCAACAAGCTTGGCAAGCTTCCAACTCCGGCAGGGAGCTCGCCACTGAGCCAGTTGCCAGAGAGAGTCAGAAAGACGAGGGAGGTGGCGCTGTTGATGCTCGCTGGAATGCTGCCTTGGAACCGGTTACCAGAGATGTCGAAATCGCGGAGGCTTGACGTAAACAAGGAGCTTGGAAGTTGCCCCTCGAGCTGGTTACTAGAGGCGTAGAAGATCTCCAGTCGCGTACAGTTGGAGAAGGAGGGAGGAATGCTGCCGGATATCTGGTTTACATTGACGCTGAAGAACTTGAGAGTGTCTCTACGGCAGACGTTTGGCGGCAGCGGTCCGGTGAGGCGATTGAGCGCTACGTCGAACTCCTCGAGCTCAGAGTGGAGGCCAAACTCTTGGGGGATCTCGCCAACAAAGCTGTTTTGGAAGAGCCACACACGTTTCAAGCTTGGAAGCCTGGCGAGCTCCACAGGGATTTCGCCGCTCAGATTGTTGGCTTGGACGTAGATTCCTTCCAGATGAACGAGCCGAGAAACGTTGCGAGGAATGGGTCCAGTGAGGGAGTTTTTCCAGAGGAGGAGCTCACGCAGCATGGCAAAGCTCCAAATCTCACCAGGTATTTCTCCGCGCAGCTTGTTGTTCGCCAGTGACAATCTTCTCAGGTTTTTCGACGTGATGTTCACGGGAATTGTGCCGGTCAGGTTGTTGCCGGAGAGGTCCAGTTCCTGTAAACTCGGCAGGGTCATCACATCCTGCGGGATTCCCCCTTGGAGCTCATTGTTTGAGAGATCAAGCTGCGACAACCGACTAAGATTTCCAAAGCCAGCGGCTGGGAGCTGCCCCGAGAAAAGATTGGAGCTCAAGTTGAGGTACCTGAGCTTGTTGCACGATCCCAGAAACTCTCTTGGAAAGCCTCCACTGAAGCTGTTGTTCGACAGGTCGATGCTCTCCAAGTTTGGAAGCATGCAAAGCTTGGGATAAAGCTGTCCGCGCAAGCTCATACCGGAGAGATTCAGTCCTTGAACCGAGGAACTGGAGCTGTCGCACGCCACTCCAATCCAGACGCATGGATTTGGATCTCGGCTGGTGCTCCAGTCGCTTAAGATCCAGGTCGTGTTGCTCTCCAGATTGGATCGAAACTGCAAAAGAACCGCAACCTCGTCCTGTAAGAGCGCAGAGCCTGGAGATGGAAGCAGTGGCGCCAAGGAAAAGAGGAGCAGTGAAAACCATATTGCCGCGTTCATCTTTGAGACGCCTCTGGCTCGCAAGAAGTTATCTAAGGCAACGATGAACAAAATAGAATTTTTCTTCTATCAGCGATTCGTTGAAACGACTTGGAGGAGATCCTTGGAAAGCTTCGTTCCGCTACATCTTTAAAGAAAAGAGTGGACCTTGGTGAAGAAGAAGAAGTGAAACACGCAAGTAAATATGAAGAGTGTTCCTTTGGCCCCGTCAAAGGAACTGTTATTGCCATTGACATTCATCGTCAACCACTTCATGCAAGGATTTGTTTTCCAGTAAGGTGGCAGGTCAAGCGCCGCTTGGCAATACGACCATCTTCGTGAGTCTTGTTAATCAGATCCTCTAGCGGCGAGAAATTGGCCTGGACAGAAACCATTGTCTCCAGATGTTTCGAAAGCCAGGGAGCCGCACTAGAGCACCAATCACTGTTTTCTCTGCATTATTGGATTCCAGCCGACGCAAATCACCATCTTAAACACTCCCTTGTCCGAAAGGCCTAGATAAATCCATGCGCCCCTCAAAGCGATGGGATGAGCTAGCCTTCCATTTTATCTGCTTGATCGAAATGTATGCAACATGTGGCAGCATGGACTCTCAGGTACCGATCTATTGCACCTACCTCGGATTCTTCACCAACGAGTTTCTCGATCTACTTACAGGGAGCTGCACAATAGGATCGAACTTTAGCTTGCTATGAAAGTAAAAATAATTTGCTACTCCAACTCTTGTCATTTTGATCAATTGGAAGTTTATAACTATAATCATGTTTATAATTTATCAACACAAGGCTCAAGAAAGGTTTTGGATATGGCATAGGATTAATATGTTATTATACAGCTCTTTATGAACACATTATAGATTGTTTTCCACACAGCCCAGCGTGTAAGTATGCATGGTTAACAGCTTTTTGCTTCTAGGCAGTATATTTGTATAACACCAGATGGCTGTTGCTGGTGATCAACATCGCCGCTTAAGTTGTTCCTGGGCATGACCACTATGGTAAAAGTAGCTAGGCCGAATGGAGCCCGAGAGTTGGCAAGCTTCCAACTCCTGCACTGAGCCAGTTGCTAGAGAGAGTCAGAAAGGCGATCGCTGGAACGCTGCTTTGGAACCGGTTACCAGAGATTCGAAATCACGCAGGCTTGACGTAAACAAGGAGCTTGGATCGCCCTCAGGTTACTAGAGGCGTAGAAACAGTTGGAGGAGGGAGGAATGCTTCCCGATATCTGGTTTACGTAGAACGCTGAAGAACCTGAGAGTGTCTCTATGGTAGACGTTTGGCGGCAGCAGTATCGTCGAGGCGATTGAGCGCTGCGTCGGACTCCTCGAGCTCGGAGTGGAGGCCGAACTCTTTTCGGGATCTCGCCGTCGAAGCTGTTTTGGAAGAGCCACACACGTTTTGAACAAGCTTGGAAGCGTGGCAAGCTCCACACCGCTCAGATTGTTGTCTTGGACGTAGGTGAACAAGCCAAGAAACGTTGCGAGGGAATGGCCAAGCTCCCAATCTTACCAGATGTTTCTCCGCTTAGCTTGTTGTCCGTGACAAATCTTCTCAGGTTTCTCAACGTGACCTTCGCAAGAAAATAGCAGTAGTGTTCCTCTGGTATTTCCATTTGAAAATCATTTGATTCACCGTGAACCGCAAGGTGGCACGTCAAGGGCAACCTTGTTAATCAGATCCTCTGGCCTGGACAGAAAACCATGCGCTAACTTTTGTTTTAGAAATTCAAACAAGAAAATACTATAGATCTAGTACTAGCGTAGCTGTACTCAAACACTTGGATCGTTTACGTGTCCGACGAAGAGCACCACCCCAGTGGCATCCTCTCTCACCAAAAACATAAACGGATGATCCGCCACGAAGTCTTCGGGCTCCATCTGCACATTCAAAGCCCGGAGTGTCACCACCGCGGCGCTGGCGGCGGCGGCCTCGGTCCCCTCCTCGTTCACCTCCACAAACGCCTTGTGAAAAACGTCCGAGATGAAGAGATCGTCCCCCGGAGAGCCTTCCACCATGCCCGAGAAGTCGGCGTGCGGCGGCGAGAATGCGAGGTCCAAGCCCATCCGCTTGAGCAGCTCCGGCGCTTGGACCCCCAGCGAGATCTTGAACTTCGGGAGCTGGAAGTCGCCCACTTCCACCTCGTGGATGCCCGCGAGCGCGTTTCCCATGGATTCGGCGTCGTGGAGGCTGCTGACGAGCGCCGGCAGGCCCTGGAGCTCGGCCGGGAGGAGAACGTACATGGAAAAGCTGCGTGGGTCGTCGCCGCGCTGGTAGGGGAGGCGGAGGACCTTGAAGGAGCCGTGGTTCTTGATAAAGTGCTTCTTGCTGCTGCGCATCATAAGGACTTCCTTGGTCTTGCCGCTGGGGAGGTGGAAGATCCCGTCGCGGGTTTGCGATGGATCCAGCTGCTTCTGCCAGGCGCCCTTGAAGTAGATCGCGCTGGCGAGGATGAGGCGGGTTTGGGGATCCACCGAGCCCTCGGGGAGGAGCTCCTCGATCTTCTTCTTGGTTGCCTCCGCCACCCACGAGTTGACGAGACCGCGGGATTCTTGTGCCTGGCATCTCAGTTCGCTATGTGAGAACTATCCAAGAACTCAAAGAAACAAAGCAATTCATGATCGCCCAAGCTCGAAGGAAAGACGATTCATGAATCACATCGATCACATCGATCAAAGAAACAAAATCACGATCGCCCAAAGAAAAATACAATCTATCGACCATCAAGCAGTGAAGAGAGAAAAGCATGAGCACTTAAGAAAAAGCAAACAGTCGCTCCAATCAAAGAAGAGAGAAAGTGAAGAGCAAACTTTACCTTGTTCTTGAAATCCACGGGCCTGGCAGAAGCTCCATAGTTCTTCTCGATGATCTCCTTGTACTCGCCGCGGAGCTTCAAGCTCTGCTCCACCCAGACTCCATTGGCGAGGCTGAGCTCCGGCGCGCGGGGATCCGATCGCGCCACGCCCAGCAGCACCGAATTGAGCTGCTGCGCGAAATCGTGCATGAGAGACCCGTTTGGCAGCCTGACCACGGAGGTGAGCTGCTCCAGCGTCTGGCCCTTTGCTCCCGCGGCCGCCATCGCCATGGCCATGGCAATGCTAAGCGGAGACAGCACCACATTCTTCTCGTTGTGCTGCTCCTCTCGATCGGTGCTGCTGCTGCCCTGTGGCTTGGATTCCTGCTGCTGCTGCTGCCATACCTGCTTGTAGAGATCGAGCGTGAAGCTCGTCTGATCGTGGATCATCCGGACCAGCTCCATGTCGGTGGTGGTGGTATGCTAGTGAAGATGACCTAATGAGATTAGTGTGTTGTTGCCTGGCACGCGCTCTTTTTAAATTAAAGGTCATGGACACGTCATAGATTGATCACAGTGAAATACCTTGACGAATCCACCACAGCCGAAGAGGAGTGCCACCATTGCCTCAAAGTTGAGCGTCTTATAAGTATTTATTTTTTTAGATAAATTTTAAAAATGTAAATATATGTACATATTACCTTGCCTAGGTATATAATAATATAACATATGAATTGTTTATTCGGGATTGAATCTACTCCATCCATTTTGTATATAAATAAGGGTATAAATCCCAATCAATATAATTATTTCTATATCTTGAGCACATATTTATATTTATCTTATGGTGGTGAAGTGTTTTATTAAAAAAGCTCATCTATTTTTTTCTTCTTCCATAATATTTCTTCCTCAATTTTTCTTACTTTCTCCTTTTTGTATTAATGCTTTAAACACTTTTTTGTTCAAAGAAGGGGGGATAAAGGATGGACATGAGTCTAACTTTAATAATAGAGTGAGAATGAGTGGATATGGTAGTGGAATGAGTATGAGCCCAAATCCTAATCCACATATTTATAACTTTCATAAAGAGTTATATTGAATAGTTGTAATAATGGAGTGAGGTCGAATATACATGGTAAAATAAAAATTACCACAACAAATCAAATGTTTCAAAATTTACATTTTCTTTGAAAAAGGCATAAAAAGAATGTAAAAGATAAATGGAGTAAGTCTAACTCCTTATATGCGGTGTTAGATGAAGGTGAAAGTGATAAATCTGAGTTAATACAAGTCTTAAATATTAATCCAAGGAAAGTAAATGATTATAAATTTAAGTTAATAGAGTTGGTGGGCAGACTTAAAGGTAGGATGTGTTATTTGCTATAATAACATTTTGTAAATTGAAATGACTCTTAAAGTCCTTTCCTTTAATTTAGTATTAGGCTTCAAGGTTAGTAGCTGCACTCTAAACCCTATAATTACTAATAAATAAATTTGAAATTAATATAGTTTAAAACATCTAATCATTAATTTTTGTTTTAGCTACTAATTTTAAAATGTGACAAATTAGTTTTATGAGTACTTAAGATATGGGAATAAATACATTAATTGGGGTTAAAACCCCTACTTATATACATGAATAGATGGACCAGATTTGAAAATTTTGGACCATAGTCTATAATCATGTAACAAAACTTTCAAATGTTTCATTTAAGTTATTTCATTTTTTCATTTTCTAGAAGGGAGGATAGTGTAATGTTTGTAAATATATATATATATATATAACACTTTACCTAAGTAATTTTAATTATAGTACTATAATGTATAGAATTTCTAAATCTGGTCCATCTAAATTATAATTAAATACCTAATAATAAGTTAATATAATAATTACTTTGTGATTGTCTATGATAAGAGGAAGTTTATATAGAAAAAAGGAGGTTAAATGTCAAATTATTTATTTCAAAGTTGAAATGTCATTTTCACACATTTCAAAATAAAATATTAACAGAAAAGCCTAAAGTATAAGTTTGTTTAACATATTAAATGAATTTAATTTAAATTATCATAACATAGCTAATAAAAACGTTATTTTATTTAAATTTTATATAACATAATTTGTAGTGCATAACATGAATAGCATAATTTATAACATAAATATTATACTTTTAAAACTTTATTGAGTTTAAAAATTAATCTCCTCTACTATTACAAAATCCTTCTAATGAGTACAATTTAAAATTTAATTTAAATATACTTAGTGTATTTAATATATTATATTTATTATTTTTCTAAAAAAATATTTATAAAATTAAATTTCAAAGTGTGTATAACATTTTTTGGGTTTTGGGTTGTAGATTGGATAGTGTGAATAAATACAAACATGGAAAATGAAAATTTTATTTATATTATTACTATGTTTTTATATATAATTTACATATATTATTGAACATATGTAAAGTAGTAAAATGATGTGCCAAGTATCTTCTGTCTCATTATAAATATTTTTGTAAAAAAAAGTATAAATATCATATTATATAGAATATGTTTATGTTTTTCTTCCATTTATTTTTATTTATATAAGTTGTTATATGTTTTAGTTTTTTAATTAAATATAATTTTAATTTTAATTTTTAGAAAATTAGTTATTTTATATACAACCAAATTTTTATCCTTTAGTCTTTTATAATATTAATTCATTGCATATATATATATATATATATATATATATATATATATATATATAAAGTTTATTAGGCAAAGTAACTATCTTTAAAATGATGTAACTATTTATGTTTTTAAGTTATTATAAATAAATTATATTATTATATTGTTATAAATACTTTTATTTTCCTAATATAAATTTATTTGGAAAAAATAGTTTGAAAATAATTAAAGCATAATATCAAATTTATTATTAACACAATAGTAAGTCCACGTTTATATTTAATTACATCTGTAAAATAATATAAGTACATGACTTAAGTAATTAAGGACACTAGTAAAATTATATTCCGGGATTGGGCTTTTTGGGCGGGTGTGCGCTGTGTGAGAGAATCTCGCGCCAGGGTACGCAAGATCGGCGCTATTCCTTGGCCGCACATCGCAATCCGAGCTCCGGCGGGCTGCCGCGAGCTGATTCATCTCCGCGATCGCTGCCCGCCCCTTCAAATGTGGCTTCTTGCGTGCTGCTCAAGCAACGCAATTTAGATGCGCCGGGAGGCAGTGGCGTCTGCGGCGGCGCCGAGACGACGCCCGGGGGCAGCGGCGGCGGTGAGGCGTTGAGGCGGCGATGGGCGCTGGAGTTCTAGGTCTTGGTGCGCAATTGCTGGTGGGCTAGGTCATATGGCACAGACTGCTGCGGGAGGCAATGGATCGGGGGAAAGATCCGTGAAATGCTCGTACAGGAGGGTCACCATGCTGATTTGCACCGTGAATTTGATCGCGGTGCTCTATGTTCTTCACAGCTTGCTAGGTCCCCGCTACTTGAGCTCCTCGTTAGCTAGCGTTGCTCGTGGTGGTCACGGTAAGCTTGCCTCTTTCTTTCCTTCTTTTTCGTCTTCTTTTCCTCTCTCGTTCGTTCTTCCTTCTTTCCTTCTTTCGTTCTTCCTTTTTTTCTTTCTTTCGTATGAGAAAAATTCAGCTCTAGGAAAATGTGCCTGGCCAAAGGAAGAACTTGTCAAGCGGGGATGTTTACTTGTCTCTCCTTCTTTCCCGCTTTGACAAAAAACTATTTTTTTCTTTGAACCTTACTCGATTTCATTCCAGCGACTAAGTACTCCGAGGAGGAGCTCCAGAAAATACGAGAGTCGCTGGAGGCCCGGAAAGCAGTGGAGCCTCACGAACTTATGAGACGGGTTTGTTCGTTCTTTTCTCTCTTTAGATCGCAAGAACAAAGTGAGCTAAAACAACAAATGGTGTTGCGAATCCAGGTGAAGGAGATTCAAGACGAGGCCGATTCCGATGTGTCCAGGACCAAAGAAATCGGCAATGCCCGGCAGAGAGCCGCAGACGTGCTCGCGCAGCGTCTCAAGGAGCTCAAGGAAGTGAACAACCAGATAAATCAGCAAGGTAACCTCTGATTCCTTTCGTGACTGTCAAAAAAAATCTCAAGGCTTCCCTTCCAAGCAGCGCTCGAGGAGTGGCGGAAGAAGAGGCTTGAAGGCGTCAAGAAACGCAAAGAAAAGATGTAAAAATCACACACAGTCACACGAGAGAAAGCATCCTTTATTATTCGTATATAAAAGGTTTTCAAATTCGATTTCCCGGGAAGGGAGGAGCCCTAGAAAAAGAGCAAAGGTTTTTTAGGGTTTGTGGAGCGCGATGGATCCAATTAGCTTGAAGCGAAGGAGGCGACGGGGAAAGAGAGGGGGTAAGCGCAGCCGAAGCATCAATTACAACCATGGGAAGTCGTTCGCACCATCGAATTCGCCCCCTGAGGGCGACGCTCATCCCTTTGCTCGATTCGGCCCACAGGTAAGAACAGCTGATTGCTCAGTCCCCTATGGCGGCAATTGGAGTGGAGTGAGTGGAATCGGAGGCAGCGCGGGCGCGATGGACGAGCCCTACGTCCCTGAATTTGTCGTGGCCCCGCCTGTCGGTGCGATCGATGCTCCGCGGTTCATCTCTCCAATTCCGACTAGTTTATTGAGATTTGGCGAAGCCGGTGGTGGCGGCGGAGGGGGGAAAGGATTGCTTGCGTCGCAAAAGCAACCCCCCTTTTTCAGCCTGGATGATCTGCCCGAGTTTGTCTTCCCTACATACGCTTTCTAATCACCATAAAAAATCTAAGCCTCAAATTAAACATGGCACAAACCTGACAAACCCGATGTCATTAGCTCTCGTTTGCCACGAAAGGCCAGAAATTCTGACAAAAGTATGTTTACATTTGAATGTCATTATCTCTCCTAAGTCTTTGTTTGTCATAAAAGGCCAGAATTAATAATATGTTATCATAGACCATACACAGAGGACCAGCTTCTTGAACAAAACTGGATCCAGCCTCAATTGTCGAACTGCTTGGGATTGTCACTAAAAAGGATTTTGCTGTCACCACCCGAGTTTGCAGCTCTTCACTACACAGGTCTTCTCCTTTCATCCCAAGTAACAAGCCAGTGCTAGAGTTTAAAGCATGATCTATATTCCATCACATGGGAACTCTCATATGATTGGAAAAACAGGATTATAGAACATACATTGTGGTGTCTTAATTTGGACGATGACAGCTTATATAATCCTATGACAGCGTATAACTGATGAATGTTATAGCTGTGATAATGCTTGCACACGACCTCCTATGCTTACCTTTTGTTTAGGTTTCTAAACACCGAATTATCTTATGGGATCTAGAACAACATTTACAAATATACTTTATCAGACTCTTTCATGTTGGGGGCTCTGATGTAAGTAGCAGCGCCTGGATCTCGTCCAGCGTCTTCCCCCGCGTCTCAAATATCATCTGGCTCACGAAAACGGCCGCCACAACGCAAACCATGGCGAAGAACGCGTAGAGGGCCGCTGCGCCGTATTTGTGAAGCAGCTGTAGGAAGGTGAGGCCAACCACAAAGTTGACAATCTGTGGCATCAAAGAGAAACAAAGCTTCTTCTCAGTGTCTCGGCCGAGAAAATCCCATAGCGCTTACCCAGTGGATACACATTGCTATTGACATGGCTTTGGCTCTGATACCATCCGCAAAGAGCTCGGGTAACAAGAGGCCTGGAACCGGCCCGGCTCCCAGCGCGAACATCATCACATACCTGCATTTTTTTCCCTCACAAGACAAGGTAGTGAGAAATAAAGACACGTTTGCTTACGTTAGAGTCGAAAAGACGGCGAGACTGCCCTGAATTGGTGCTAGCAGCGGGAATGCAGCTGCTGACGCTTGAATCGCCATGGCTACACCCTGCAACATCAAGAAAAAGGAGGAGATATACAGTTGTAGGGTTTTAAACTTGTATACCATGCCAGAGAAGCTAAGGATCAAAAGCGGTCTCCTGCCTTGCCTGTCCATGAGATACGTTGCCAGTAAAGATGCTACATAAACGGCATAAGCAGGCTCAGATCTGTCGACCACCTCGAATGTGGAGAGACGTACCGAAAAGATTTGCTATTCCAACACATATGCTCGCGTAGACGTCAGAAGTGATTCCCGCCTGCCTGAAAACCGTGGACGAAAAGTAGAACACGGCGTTGATTCCTGCGAGCTGTTGGAACGCAAAAAGTGCAGCTCCAATCAGGACAACTGCAGAGTGAAGTTTTGGAAACAAGTGTTGCATAAAAAAAGAGCTGTATGCGTACCTCTAGAATACTGCCGATCCAATAAATCACACCATGAACGTCTTCGCCCGGCTTCAAGCTGCTCTTTTACCAGAAGATCGGACATCGCTTCTTTGACGTGCAGGGGGCCCCAAAGTCGTTCCAGCGACATCTCGGCTTTCCCATATTGCTTCCTCTGTAGCACAGCATCAGTCGGAAAAGTGGGAAAGGAAAAATTAAAAACAAAAGAGCTACCTTGAAAAGCCAGCGAGGGCTCTCAGCACAAAACTGCATTGCTACCGCAAGTAAGACAGCAGGTCCTGTTGATATCCAAAAGCAAACCCTCCACCTGCAATTTCTTAACTTGACAATCGAAACACCTTTAAGTGATTGAAGTTCACCAGCCGATGATGGAAGAGGAGGGAAATCCAGCTACAAGTGCTCCAAGGATCCCACAACATCCAGCAACTTGGAGCAAGCTTCCATACGCACCCCTCACAGCCGTCGGAGAAATCTGAAAGAAAGAAAAGGATGGCACTAACTATGACAAAACTCTTGGGTATGGCTATCTTACCTCAGAAACATAGAGAGAAGCGAGTGGTCCACTGAGTCCCAATCCCACGCCCACGAGAAATCGGCCATAGAGCATCATCTTGAGAGACATAGAAGACGCACTACATTGATCGCAAGGCATGAGAAAACAAAGAGGGAAGAAATAAAATCAAGAGAAACATACCACAAAATGGCTCCGGCGATCATAGGAACGCTGCTCAGCTGAAACGCGCGGCGCCGCCCGACGCCATCCGCGATGAGGCCACTCGCTGCGCATCCTACAAACGCGCCTCCAAGGAGCAGACTCACCAGCAGCCCTGCGCCCCGGTCTCATCACCAAGAACTCTAAATTTTTTAGAGCACAGCACCTTGGGCTATGGCGCTTCCGCCAAATCCGAGGTCCTGAGCGATGTACTGGAGTGGCACATTCACAACTCTGGAACGAAGAAAAGATATTCGCAAGGGAAGAAAATTCAAAGAAAAGTACCCGATGTGGTAGCCAAACAGGACGGATGCGATCGTGGCCACAGCGACGTGAGGAAGCGAGAGATCCCAAGGCGGATCGGAGCGATGTGATGGAAATGTCACTGGAGGATCGCCTGCCTCTGCCACAGAAAGAAAACATCCATGAATTCGGCCAAGAACAAGCAGAGAAGATCAAGAACACGGGAGCTATGCATTACAAAGAAACCTGGAGCTGATCGCTGCTGGTCCTCCCGTGCCGATGGCGTCGCCAGTAGGCGGATGTATCGAGAAGTCTCCCCGATCTTGAGCTTCACGACGGGATTAGAGATGTTCCTCTCCTCCTCCTTGGCGAGCACGAGCAGTCCACTGGTGTTCTTGAGAGAATCGACCAAACCCTGGCTGCCGCTGCTGCTCCTCGGACGATCTCCCCCTGATTCTTGGATGGTCGTGCTGCTCCCAGGGAAATTTTCGTTGCTGCCGCTTCGACAGATCAGCTCCACCGATCGCGGCGCTGCTCTGGACGATGCCGATCTTGCTGTTGTCACAATCGTCGAGGAGCCGCGCGCTGGCGATCTAGATCTGGAGGCTCTTCCTCCTCCATATTCCCCTAGATGACCTATATTTCCTGTTCTTGGAGCCTGGAAGCGAACGGGGAGAGCCACGAAATCCAACCGCCTACCCGGGCGCCTGGCTCGCACCAAGGATTTACACTTGCAGCTTGACGATTTCGTGCGAGTCCAGAAGAATCCCTGCTGTGACCTGTGGCAGATCGTCGCCCCGGGCGCCTCGAGCGCCTGCGAAAGCCCTAGAGCGCCGCTCCTGGCGTGTGGAAGAATCGGGCGCCTGCAAATGAGACCAGCGGATGGATGCCCTGGGAGAGAATTGGAAGAATGTGTCGCCTTGGATCGGTCACCAGGAGATGGATCCGTAGTCATAATCGATGCTTGAAAGCCAGCATTGCGATCGATGCTGTGAATATGAGGAGACGCTGTTCTTCCTTTTATAGGGATAGCAAGAACTAGACAGAGAAGAAGAAGCGGGAAGCTCAAAAGTCGCGGTACGAAAACAACCAATCTTCGCCATCGGAGATTATGACATATAAAATTCCGATCCAGAATTACAGAACGAAATCGGAGCTAGTCTGATATGATGCCATTTCTGCTATAGAATTTTGTTCAGATATTTTAAAGTGTAGTGGATCAATAAACACTTATATAATTTTGCATATTTAACATTTATATGAGAAATATATTTAGAAAAATATGTTAACTACATTAGGGTACTGTTACATGTACATTTGGCTACTGTTATATGTATTAGATGTATTACTATAACAAATTTTATTGACATGTTTCACATGGTGAATAGTTTGTTTACAGAAGAACAAGTTTACTACAATAGCTTTTTCAAGTATAAACTACAAATAATTCAAATTTTTTTACTAAGAATTGTATTAAATACTAATAATAGCAACAACCTTAGAGCATCTCTGCACATTGTGAGACACTTTTTTGTATGATAATTGAAAGAATTGCATGCATACTAACTCTTTTCTTTTTGTTTTTTAGTGCTATAGCACCAACCACTAGTCTATTGCATGTAGAACTTTCATCTAGTGGAGGTAAGAGTTGTATCTTTGTTTTCTATTTCTAGAAAACTGATTCATTATTTTCTAAAAGAGACACAGCGATCAACAAATGCCTCCTTCTCCCGTATAAAAACTTGGAACTTTTCAAACTCCTGAGTAGATCAAACCATGAAGGATATACAGCATGGGGGAAAAATCATGTATAAGGATTTAACTTTGGTCATTTGACACCAAGAGGACTTTATCCTAGGTATTTTAATAAGAAAAGGATTTTCATATTAATTAGTTAAATATAAGTACATTTAATTTAGTGTTAAACATGCTAGTAGAATATACTATATGCCACATGTCAGGTCATTTTCAAGAGTGAAAGCCGACTCGGTAAGACACTGTGTGCTACTTAAGTTAACGTAGCAGAATGTTGAAATTACCTCCAGGTAAAAAGAAGCATCCTTTAGTTACTGATTTTGCTTTTGGGAGGTAATCAACTCTAAGTTTTTGGAAGGTTGCCACATAAATAGAGATTGAGGATGATATTAAAGAATTGAATGATTATGCAACATTAAACATTGAAAGTAAAGTTACTGTTAGTTAGAGTTTGATGCAATTGAAGGCACAATGTTTTGCAAGATTTGCAAGGTAAATCCACGGACTAAGAATATTTTTGGTAAATAGGGTACTAGTAATTTATGAAAGAGTGCCTTATGTAGTCATGCTAACTCTGAAGATCACAAGGAGTTTGTATTTACTAAGGAGGTGCACAATAGGAACAACAATCAATTTCAAAAGCTACAACTAAACATTTACACCATGCTGAACAAGGGGTGTTTGTGTTATTTCATTCTACTTAATATATTGTGAAAGGATTTGCTCTATTCACTCATTTTCTAAAGCTAATTGAACTTCATTGATTTAATATGATGAACATTCCAAAATAATATCACAATGAGAAAGGTTGTTCACGACTAATAACTTCTATTAATGAGGTATGTTTAAGAGACTATGTTAATTTGATTCTAACATGGTTCATATTTCACTTTAGGTTATGGTTAAAAATATCTTACAAAAAGTCAGGGAAAGTCTTTATTTTGGATTGATGGTGGATGAATTGACTGATATAAGGTATTCCTTAATTTGGATTTATTAGTTTACTTATGATTCAATTTATTTTCAGCATTGTGAAGCATTTGATTTTTTACATGACTTATATTGAATGTGGTTGTGTTGGTTGTGGACTTGGGGATTGTCAACATTGGTGATAATAGTGTAGCAAGTATGTTTAACTGCATTAGCGATATGTTTGTCGCGAATGTGACTTCGGGTATCGAAAGTTACTTGTCGGCTAGTCCTTATGGACACTCTTTTCTTATTGCCACGATGGCAGGAGGTCAGTATTGCTAGACTTGTTATTAGTCTCTGCCTAAGCTAGTTAAGAAATTAGTCTTCGCGTGTATACTTGACCAAATGAGCATAAGGATGGAATTCTTAAGTGCTATTAGTTAAGCATACTTGACTTGGTTAGAGAAACTCATTCGTTGACTTGCACTTGTTGGTGTTGGGAACCCCGTGATATTGAGCTTGGTCTCTCAATATTCATTAAATAATAGCTTACTGTGTTTGCCAAACATGTTCGCTATCATGCCTTTTGTGTTAGTTTCATCTCAGTCCCAAATGCTATTTATGGAAAGTGTCCAAATTTGCTCATTTGGCATATCTATAGAATGTAGAGATTAACCTGAACATAATAGTGTTTGTCCTGTATTTAAATTCGCAATCTAGAAACATTGCATATTTAATAAGTTTTGAGCTTGTCCCAGAAATTAACTCTTGATACTAAGGGAGACTTGGGGTGAAAGCCCAAAGCTTGTCCCAGAAATTAACTCTTGATACTAAGGGAGACTCCCAGAAATTAACTCTTGATACTAAGGGAGACTTGGGGTGAAAGCCCAAAGCTTGTCCCAGAAATTAACTCTTGATACTAAGGGAGACTTGGGGTGAAAGCCCAAAGCATGTGTTCTTCTTTAAGGGCAGGGGGGGGGATATAGAGGGTTTCAAATGTATAGTAGAGATAGTGGGCAGGTTGGGCATAGTGTAAACTCCTGAATTTGGACTTCCCGGGAGGTCACCCAACTCAGTACTATTCAAACCCAAGGACGCTTAACTCCAACTATCCCAAGACCCTTAACCGATTGGAAAAGGGGGTGCACTCTTATTCATGGGCCCTTTCCCTCTATATTTGAACCCCAACGGATCGTCTCTCGAGTCGTTCCCTTTGGTTACTTACACATAGTCCACTAACCTAAGGCATAGTGTAGCTCCTGTTTGTATGCCTGTCCTTGTTTTGCATCCGGCTTAAGTCTAAGCCCAAATTCCACACCATGCTAGTTGGTGGAGTACCCATGTCCTTGTGTTAGGCCACCGGTATGCTAAAATAGCACTAAATTTCATTTGGCTTCGTTTTGCATGTTGGTCCTAGCATTGGGACTGTTCTAAGTTGCTCTAAACTCCTGTCCCTTCACTTCTTGGGTTGTATACTCAAGAGTTGCTCTGTGGTTCAGTTCTGTCACTCCTTAGCTCCATGCTTGGGAGTTTAGTACCGTTCCTTCGTTTAGTGGCCCAAGGCCCTAAACCTTAGGTTCCACACCATTGTCCTATGGACACATGGCATATGCCATGTGGCACATGGAGGGTTTAGGTTCCGCTTCGTGGTGTTATCCTATGGTAAATCACTATAAAATATAAAGTTAAAACCATGTGCGCTACAATGCTTAAGCAATGGAACTTAAATATGCAACAGTTCATGGGTTTTAGTCTAGATGGATGTAATGTCATGGCTAGTAGCAAGATAGGGGTAGCAACCAAGCTAAAGGAGATCAATCCCTTCTTAAGCAGTGTTCACTGTATGGCACATCAAGCCAATTTATGTGTGGAAGATGCTTACGGGGATGGAGAATGTGCTACACAATGCACGAAGATTGATAAACTAGTGAATAAGGTAGTAGGTTACTTTAGCAAAAGCTTAAAAACGTTAGCTTAGTTGATGGAAATTGAGATAGGACATGATCATACCAAGTTTAAACTATAGTTCATATAGGATACAAGGTGGCTAAGTCATGGAGGGGCTTTCTTTAATCTTTGTGAATGTTTGAAGCTAGTAGCTAAGTTTTTCACACGAAGGGGCAAGTTGTAACTTTACAATAAACTGAGAACTCTCAAGAACATGTATGTCTTCCATTTTCTGGCTGATATTTTATAGGTGATAAGTAGTCTCAATCAGAAATTCCAAGAGAAGTTAATCAACATCACCATAGTTGGACCCTTGTGCCAAGAGACTATTGTGAAGCTAAACCAATATTACATCAATAATAAGATTGATTTAAACAGTAATCACGTGGATAGCAAATCATATTCATGCATCCTTGATGGTGGTAGTAAGGATGGCTTCCTCCATGTTTTAAGAGCTTTAATTAAAAGAGATGCTTACAAAACTGCCTTGGAGGAATGGAAAGAATAGAATTTTATTGATATGTGGAGCATTATAAGTTGGGCAAAGAGCTTTCCAAACTTGCTTCGAGTTTATGAAATTGGGATGGTGCAATGTGTTAGCACTACAAGTTGCAAATGAGGTTTCAGTAGAATAAACTTGATCAAAAACAAGTACAGAAACTAGAGGAGTACTAAAACAGTTGATGCTTTTATAACTGAAGGTCTTGAAATTCAGAAGTCTAACTTTGATAAAGTTATGGACCACTGGAAGAAAAGTGCACATTATCGACAAATTTTCTTGCAATTATAAGCTTGTTTAACCTTATGTTTTTATTAATAAAAGGATTTTTACTTAAGAAAATTTTGATTAGAAGGTTTAATCCTGGAAATTTTGAAAAATCCTTGAAGGTTGAACTTGAGGAAGATTTTTGCTTTGGAAGGTGAAAGGGTTTGTCAAACGCTGGAGAGATAAGAAGAGCAAGACAAGAGAACAAAAAGATATTGGTTTTGTAAACTTTAGTTTCTATTTGTATTTTAAAGAATTTTTGTTTAGGGTTTAGGGTTTTTAGTATATCAAGGATTTTATATTACAGCCTAGAGCTCAGTTTGGGCCATTTGTTAGTTAGAGCTAGTCAACACTCTAGTCAACTCGGATCAGCACCCTAGGATTGCAGACTTGGTCCACTAACTGATCAACTTTGAACATATAACATTTGTAAAGCAGTGAGCCTTAGATGTGAGAAAATGTTATTTAGAAGAATTTGGAGGACAATTGAAACCCAACCTTGGGAAAGTCTACATAACAAAAAAAAATTGTAAAGAAAGCTTTTATCACTTTGCAACAAGAGTAAAGTCATGGCTTTTACTTGCTCTCTAAGAGTGTATTTTTCACATTGCCAATTCATTGAAACAATTGGACTTTGTTTATGTAGCTTTGAAATTGTTTCACTCTATTCCACTATACTTAATGCTATTGTTTTTCTTCGCTAGCAACCATGAGAGTAGCTGTCATACATAAGCAATCACAAAAAACAAAAATAAGTTTTAAGCTTACAGCTTTACCATGAGTTGCTGCCACCATTGAAAGAATGAGTGGCATTCACCAACTTTCACTTGTAATTGTAAATAAAATGAATATGAGAAAAAAGGCCAAAAAGATAGTATTTAAAAATGCAAGCCTGACAACCAAATATTTTGCTCAAAGTGTTAATATGAACATCAAATTGTCCTTCGATGCTATAAGATTTAGCCACTCCACCTCCATTTTCACAACAAATAACAGTTTTGTAGGGTTGTGCTTTTAAGAGATGATATAGAAGATTTATATTGTAACTTTGTTTATATTTTTATCCTTGAACATAAGCAATAACAATATCAACCTCTCTATCAAAATAGGATCTTTCCCCAGAACTGGAGTTAGAGCACGTGTACAAGAGGGAAAGGTGTGTTGTGCTAGCCAAAGAGCATTGTTAAGGGTTGCTAAAGCACACAAGGCCCACAAGATTTTAATGAAACATTTGCCACAATATACAATATGCTTAAGTATATATTCACCTTGGTATGAAGCAAAAAATCACATAATGGACCCAAACAACTCCTAACAAAAATAATGCAATTGTTAGAAAGTATCATTAATGATTTCAACATGCTCAAATGCATGCTTGAAAACTCTTGAAACAATGCTTTAATCCCCACTAAGTTATTACATTTTAACCATTGTACCATTGCAATGCCAGCTTTTTAAAAGACAAATAAGAAACTCATCTGTCTTAAGAATAATAAGTGGTGATCACAAGCTATTACATATAAGGGATTTGCAGCCATTATCACCAAGAAGAGAAACAAAAGAAAAGAAAAATAATAAAGATTTAGACAGTGTACAAATTAGATCTAAAGAAAAGGCACAAGTCTGAGCATTCTTTGGGGACAATTAGTGCTGCCATCTCCACCAATGTGAAAGCTACAAAAATATGCATCTTCATATTCATACATGTAGAAGTTATACTGCCAAGGAAGAAGCTGGATCTTGCTCTGCAATTGATGGGAGGCTGGGAGCTTAGCTAGATTGGAAACTCTTTGATGCATTGCTGCAAAGGACAATGCTCCTTTAGAACTCCAGTTCCAATCAAAGGAATAATATAGTAGTGGAAATTTGAAACTAGTCTAGTTCTTATTCACGACGTCGATGGAAATGCTGGCTTCCAAGCATCTGTTCTGATCCATCTCCTGGTGGCCGATCAAGGCAAAGCATTCTTCCGGGGCTGATGGTCTCATTTGCAGGCGCCCGATTCTTCCAGAGGCAAGCGGGGTTCTAGGGTTTTCGGCCCGGGGCGACGATCTGCCAAGGATTCTTCTGGATGATGCACGTTGTCGAGCTGCAAGTAAATCCGTGGCGAGCCCGGGCAGGCGATTGGGATTCCATGGCTCTCCAGCCAAGGAGACCATAATCCGCCTGGCTCGGAGCTAGAGCCTGTCAAGCCTCGCAGAAGAACTTACGTGCAAAGTGATTGACAAGCCCACGAACATTCGATGCGGTGACTTACGCTGCCACTGACGCTTTCGCATCACTCCCAGTTGAAAACGTTTAGTTTTAGTCGCTTGCCAGTTTCTCCGATCCAACAAAAGTAAAACTTTGTCCCTGCCCACAATCGAGATCCCCGGAAACTCTAAGAACAGGGGACCATCAGCACCAACAGTGCTGGAGTTTCTCTGCGTTTTTTAGCTCTCCACTCCGGCTGAGAAGATCTACAAGAATGCAGTAGTGTTGATCCGACACCACAATGCGATGGTCTTCCACCATTCTAGCGAAACAGGCAAAAGCTTCGTCAAGCAAACCAACATGGCTGCACGAACTTAGCACAAAGAGGAAAGAAACTTGGTTTGGCTCGACACCATCAAGCTCCATCAAGCTCAGTAACTCCAAAGTCTTCTCGCCTTTTCCAAGGTGTGCGTGCGAGGCCACCATGGCCGTCCACAGGACCACATTTTTCTCTACTGGAACAGTTTCGAAAACTTTTGTGGCAGAATCCAAATGCCCTCTTTGGGCATATGCTTGAAACAATATTGTCCATGATATAATGTTGGTCTCTTTGATTTCCATAAAAGCGTGTTTTAATCTATCCAAGCTTTCCATATTCGCGCACGCAGTCTCAAACACAGCATTAAACGAGACTATGTCCCACTCGGGCATAGTTTCAAAGATCCGTTTTGATTCCTCAAAATACCCCGCTCTGGCAAATGCATAAACCATTGCGTTGTGCGTCACCGTGTCTCTCTCTTGCATGACGTTATAGAGACAAAATGCCTGCTCTATGTTTCCAGCCCGGATGCAAGCCGACAACATTGTGTTGCAGCACAGCCGACAGAGCTCCGGCATTGAGTCAAACACTCGCTTTGCACCGCCAAAATCCCCGACAGCGGCATACTCCGCAATCATGATGTTCCACGAGAAGCTGTTGATTTCCGGCATCTTGCTAAAAGTATATGCTGCAGCTTGTGTATGCCCGCCGAACGAATATGCCTGCAACAGTGCTGTCCAAGAAACCAAAGTGTGTTCAGGCATGGCATCGAAAAGATTCCGGGCATCTTCTGGGCGCCCCGCCTGTGCGTAGAAGGAGATCATCACATTCCACGATATCACGTCCCACTCGGGCATAATTTTGGAAAAGTAGTTTTCTACAAAGTGGCTGTGCTCCCTGTCCTGGGTATATGCTGAAAGAATCGAGTTCCAAACCACCACTGTCCTCTGCGGCATTGCATCAAACAGCGCCCGTGCCTCACAAAGATTCCCAAGCTGGGCATATACTCCCACCATGATAGACCATGAGAAGATATTGCGAACCTCCAGTCGATTGAAAACCCGAAGCGCATCCTCCACACAGCCAAAGGTCCAATATTTCTGGATCAAAGTATTTCCTAGGAAGGGCTTTTTACCGTTCTCGCTGGTAAAGATTAACTCTTCGACACAATTTAGCTGTGATTTATCACAGGTAGAAACAAGCTTCTCCAGTGCCGTTTGCGACCACGTAATTTGCCTCACACAAGAGCCCTCCAGCATCAGAGCTTTGTAGGTCAATCAGAGGGCTGGTAGTTTTTGTGCTTCTTCTTCCTTTCTTTTCTATAAATGAAAGAAAGAAAACTCCTTGTCTTCATGACGTCGTCGATCATAAAGCTGATCCAGTGTCCAGAAAATATCAAAAGCTACTTTTATCTGTAAATCCTGAAGGAGTCCTCGGAGCTACACCTAGGATGATATTGTATCTTTCCTCCCTAGGGTAATGATCCTAGCCAACTTCTGGGAATCCAGAAATCTTCAAATACGAGAAGATTCTAATATTGTTTTTAAATTTCAAGGGTAATATAACTTTTAATGACAATTTACTAAATATTTTTTCTTAGACATTTAGATTTAAGGATTTGGTGGAGTCAGGAATTGAAACAAGTTTAATACTCAAGGAATTAATTTTTGATAATAACTATTATAAAATCATGTTATAAATATCTTGTAAAAAAATTTAAAAAAAATACATATGACTTTTATGATTGTGGAATATGCAGATTTGGCAGTGAATTTGCAGGAGCTCTGTTGGCTATGCTGCAACACAATACTCTCAGCTATCCAGGATGGAAACATAGAACAGGCTTTTTGTCTCTAAGAGAGAGCCACTGTGACACTAGTTTATACAGTTGCCGGAATCAAAATGGGTCTTTGAAACTATATGTTGATTTCCAGCATCTTGCTAAAAATATATGCTGCAGCATCTGCAAGCGAATATGCCTGCATCAAAGATACCAAAGTGTGCTCGGACATGGCATTGAAAAGATTCCAGGCATCTTCTGGGTGTCCCACTTTTGGAGAAATAGTTTTCTACAAAGTGGCCGTGATTCCTGTTCTGGGAATATGCTGGAAGGATCTAGTTCCAAACCACCAGTGTCCTTTGCGGCATTCCATCAAACAGCGCCCATGCCTCGAAAACATTCCCAAGCTGGGCCACAATGCCAGGAACCTCCATTCAATTGAAAACGGGAAGCGCATCCTCACATAGCCAAAGGACCCATATTTCTGGATCAAAATATTTCATAGGAAGGGATTTTAAAAAAGATCAATTGCAGTGAAATTACGAATTCAATATTTAGAATTTTGTAGGTCATCACCTGACTTTGATCCAAGCTGCTGCGAATAGGGTACGCCCATAAACGTATGTCCAGAATTGACAATGCAGTGTGTAAAATGGCAGCACTTACCCAGGTATGAAACAGTAGAGTTATCTTGGGAGCAGAACATCTAGAATTTTCTTCAAAGCATCATACTCTTAACTGCGATCCTCCTAGAGTTGCGATGCGCAACTCATACTCGTATACAACAACACCTACAAACAAAATAATCAGGAAAGAATGAAGAAGAAAAACTTCTCAACCTTGCATCTCGTCTTTTGCAGCTTGAGCTTCACCCCTTGCAGGAGCTTCCAAGGTGGCAAGCATAGTTGGGGCCAGTTTGCTAAGGACAGTGTCCTTAGAGTTTGGAAACCAGTGAGACAGTGTTGAGGCCTAATCTCAGTGATGTTGCAGGTGAAGTGGGTGTAGTTTGGGAAGGAAGATGATACTTTTGTGGCAAATTTCTTCCAGAGATAGAAACCTTTAAGGTTCATATTAATCTGAATTAGTATATGAGTTTATGTATCACTTCCTTCCATTTAAGGTAAATCTTTTCAATTACACCCATCTTGTTTAATGATGTTGGTGATATGAAATTTAATCCATGACTAAGTTCCCAAGAAATAATTTTAAAATGAATGATTTTGGTGTTTGTAGTGAGGACATACTTAAATTTTTTATCAATAAAATTTTTAAACATGCTGAATTTTGAGTTTTGTGCCAGCTCCCAACTCTTCAAAATCATATGGCTTCTATGTTTGGATATAACCTCCACCTAAAACAAATATAGTCACAGTTTATCCATTAAAATTTCTATTTTTCACTTGTTAAATATTTATTTAAATTATGTAAGAAAAAAAAACTTTTAGCTATCATTACAATCGACATCATGAAGATAAGGAGTTTTATCTAAATAGAAAAAAATAGACAGAAAACAAAGCTAGAAAATTGACGTATAAAATTCTCATAAATTATAATGATAATATTAACCACTAAAGTGATCCAATCAAGTAAGGTCTTTATTTCTTCTCTATAAAAAATGCAGAAAGAGATTAATTTGCATTACAAATCAGAAAGTTTACAACAAATTGATGTAACTTTTGATATCTAATTTTCATAATATTCTTTTTCCTCTAATTACTTGAATATCAATTTGGCTAATCTAGTTATAAGCATTTTTGAAATCTGATAATGTGAGTATTAGGATATAAGAATAGATACATTAATTGAGGTTTAGACCCTTGCTTATATACAAAATGGATAGTCTATATATTATAGTATTCTAATTAGAGTGTTATATATATATATATATATATATATATATATATATATATATATATATATATATATATATATATATATATATATATATCTGTGTGTGTGTGTGTGTGTGTGTGTGTGTGTGAGTGCATGGAATATATATATATATATAAACCTCACATATATATATATACACAAATATATAAAAACCTTACACCCCTTACACCATCTTCTCTTTTGCAAGATGAAAAGTTGATGACAATAAGTCAAATGGGACACCTAAAGTTTTTGTTAGACAATTATAAATTACTACAAAAATCTAAAGTTCCTATAAAACCATCAACAATGATTGTTGACAATCATAATTGGAATAAAACCTAAAGCGATGGTATAATTACAGAATCTTGATGAATTAGTTGCAACTTTGTATACAACTCCTAAATACTCAAACAAACCATAAAACCATAACTTTGAATTAAAACAAGGGACTTTAAGAGCTCACCATTATAACAAATAATGCATTTTATCTTTAAGTTTGTTTATTGACAATTCTCCAAAACCACTATTAACTTGGACTCACAACTATAAATAAAATTTTCCTTTGTGTCTTCCCTTTGGTCAACATCCAAAACCCATATTAACTTAGATTCACAATCATTATCCTCAACTAACATTGTATATGAGAAGTCAGACTCATTTCGTTTATTTTTCACATCCTCCTTATCCCCTCCTTGAAGGAAAAAAAGTTATAAAACATATAATTTGTTTTGGTTGTCTTTATTCTATCATCTATGTTCGGCCTCACTCCATTATCATATTTGTTCGACCTTACTATATTAGGGCCAAATGTTTTGTTCGTACTCATTATACTTATCCTCACTCCACAATCCATATCATTTGTTTTCGCTTTATTATTGTATCCACTCATCCTCACTCTATTGTTGGAGCCAGACTCCCATTTGTTCCCTTTACCTTCTCCTTTGAAGAAAAAAAAGTTTAAAGTGTTGGAGCAAAAATGAGAAAGCAAAAAAAATTGAGGAAGAAACAATGTGAAAGAAAAAAAAGTAGATAAAGAAAAGAAATTTTCAGTAATTGTCAATACAAAAATGGAGAAATAAAAAGAATATGTGCTCAAAGCTTAGAAAACATAAGATTTCCTATCATAAAATATTTGAAAGAAGTAAAAAATTCACATTTTTCAACCTCAACACATAATTTAACACTTAAGATAAAAAATCAATAAAAATGTCCACACTCTCAAAGGAATATATAAATTCCTTAGCAACAACGATAAAACAAAGGCTCTAAGTGGCATTTATATTTAGTGATATGCACTCAACTTGAAACTTTAGCCAAAGTGAATTAACCTTTGGAATAAAGAAATATTTAACACTAAAGTTAATCAAAGGCTCTAACAAAGAAAGAAAAACAAGATTTTTAACTTCCCGCATATGCTAAACATCTAGATTAGTATGAGAAGGATAAAAAATACTTAACTCAACACTGGACTAAAAATGAGAATCATAAAAGTCACAAATAATTAATATGTTATGAAAAGGAAACATTGTAGATGAAAAAGAAACACTAGGAATATGAGAAGGGGGCTCATGTAGAAAAATTAAAAAAAGTTGAGAAAAAGTAAAAAGTAAAAAAAAAGGATCAATTAACAAATTGAAGGATTGATACTTACCTCATGAAATCTCTACTTCATTTTTAAAATTACTTCCATAATAATCAAATTCATCAAAATGATCTAGAATCCACTTGAACTCATACACATCATCTTCCCACACACTTAATTTTCAAACCTTTTCGAAGAACTAGACTGCAAGCTTGCCAATTGATGTCATGATCATGTTCCATATCAATAGAAAATGATAAAACCCACAACACCAAGAGTTCAATCCAATAAAACAACATTATTAGCCTCAAGTGAGATACTCTTTGATCAATGATGACATGGAATGGTAGAAGAAGAAAATAAAGATAAGAAAAAAAAAGTAGATCTAAGCACAACAATAGCTAAAGTTCTAAATCTTGCAAAAAGTTAATATAAATTTAAATTTAAAAGAGAATGAAGAAATAAGAACAAAAACCAAAACCCTAAACACTAGAGTAAAGCACTGTCAAAAACTTTGCCTTTCAGAGGATATATTACAATGAAATGTTGGGATATAGGAATAATTAGGGTTTAAACCTTTGCTTATATACAAAAATGGATGGACCAAATTCAGTTATAAATAGATGGTCCATATGTTATAGTACTATATCCAAGGTAATACATATATATACATACATGTATTTATAAACCTTACACCCCTTATAATAAGTAAAATCTTATCTTTAAAAAGTATGATGAATGATCATTTAAAATTTCAAAATTCTAGTTACACCTATTAGGGTTGCAACTTGGCCAAGGTTTGCCAAAACTGCAAAAACTCTTCATAGTCCTATAGAGACAAATCCCAAGATCGTTATAGTCATGGTAGGTTAGTGTTTTAGCATTTTGTTAAATGGCCTACTAGAGTGGTGTTTCGTCCTTGGTAGGACCCTTTTGGGGTTGGGGGATCTAGATGGATTGATCTTGTGCTCAATCGCTTCTTCCAGAATGCTTAATGGTGCAAACAAGATCTGATCTAATCT